GGCTTCTGCTGTCTTTAGAAGTGTATAACGAAGAAAATGCAGTCAGTAAGTTAGCATGGATTTGGTAGATGGTATTAAAATCATGGTCAGTGTCGGCAGAATGACAGGAGTTGATCAGGTGTTCTGGAATAGAGCTTCGCATACACTTCCTCTCTCTCTCTCCCTCTCTTGTAAAATCATGCTTCTAGAATATGTTCTCGTATCTGAATTTGTAGAAAGCGTCCTCTGGTTACGACCAATGTACCTTGCTCCACACAAGAAGCAGGTGAACTGATAGATGCACATAGAGGCGGCCAGATAAGAGAGCTTGTCTCTTACAGAGATCGAGGTGTATATAATCTAATCTTGTACTTATCATATGAAATTTACTCATATTCGATTTCTGACAATATTACTGAAAATCACGGATTGGAGGAGATAGAAACGCTAACAGTGAACAAGGCAAGGGCTTAAAGCATAACAAGTAATGAAAAGGAAATGAAGATATATTGGAAATAACTTGAGGTGACGTCTAAGTGGCATTAAACGCCGAAGACACCATTGAGAAGAACGCGAATAGAAGGCAACATCTGCTGTCTCCATGACTGGAGAGGAAATGAAACCTTGTCGGAAGTTATGCGGCCAGACGAAGGTAACAACACATGTTTCACTGATGCCTTCTCGGAAGGTAAGAAATAAATAATAGCAATAATAATCAATATTGATTACGGTTGTTAGTCCTCGAACTAATAAACTGGACAAAAGTAAACACGAATTTCCCTAATTCCACTTCTTCCTACCATTATGGATGAACTTTTATTTTGATTAAATCGAATAGTGACGTACAGTAGGTAATATTTACTGATTACCACGTTTCGAGAACAATTTTTCTACTCATCATCATATCAAGATACTCACATAACCTTCTTAATTCGTTTATATGCATGAGTGAAAATTGATGATTCGACATTTGAAAGAAAGCTATCTTTATTAACCTGCCATTCAAGGGCGACTAGATTATGCAGTTGACATCTCAAAGACTTCGGTCATCCATCAAACTCACATTCTACGCTACATCTCTTTCCCTCACATACTGAACATTTCCGATCCCAGTACCTACTACCTACGATGAAACGACGAAATTCTGTGGACTCTCCTTCAAACTGTATCTACAAACTCACCTGCAGTTGCACGGACACACACCTTAATGGGTAGAACCAACTGAATGTTCCAATATAGTCGACGAAAATAACATGTTCCAAAATGGATAGTAAATCATATCGAAAATCCTAACGCGATTAATCTTAGTAGAAATCCAGCATCATCCATTGCAAAACACTTATTAATGTCAGGTCACAAAATCAATATTAATGACTGTTTCACAATTATTTCACACAACTCTAATTCAAAGTTGGTTATTGAAGGTGATGGAAGCACTTTGGATTAATCAAATACAGCCTAGACTGTGTGCACAAAAATCAATAGACTTCAATCTTCGCCTACCCTGGACTGTATGACCTATCTTAATATGATTGGTCATTAGTATGTACTTTTGTTTTTTATTTAACTGAGTAATTGTCATGAACTTTATTTTATCATTGTTAACCATGTTAGTTGTAAAGCGGTTGTAAAAAAACTACGAAATGACGATATCATCTCGCGAAATTTGTCTTTTAAATGCCTTATTCATATAATTTTCTTAATTTCAACTCTCTCTCTCCCCTCTAAATCTACTTTACTTGGTGCGTCACGAAGGGCACATCGAACAAACCACACACCTTCGTCAACAGCTGTTTTCACTCAGTACTTCGCTCAACATCAAATGGCCGACCAGAAAAGATCAGCAATAGTGAGGTATCTCCTGCAATGTGCAAACCAACCCAGCAGGAAGCAATTGTGCAACAAATAATCAGGAAGAAGTGGAGGTGGATTGGCTGGCCATACTCTGAGAAAACAAACCCCAATCAAGTGAGGTGAGCAACATGGAGGTTAGGCGCAGAGTTCTAGGTAAACAGGGGAAATCAATCGACGAAGTCGTGAAGCTACAAAGACTGAGATGATTAGGACATGTGTTACGTATGCCAAGCCATCGCCTCCCTCGACGAGCAATGTTAGCGGATATAGGGTCAGACTGGAAAAAAGCTAGCGGCGGTCAAACAAAAACTTGGCATCAGTCAATGAAATCCACAACAGTTGGTCTAAGCCACGTAGGAAGGTGTAGACTTCCAGGCTGGGGTCCTCGGAACGGTAAAAACAAATGGTTGGAAACAATTGGTGACATGGCTCAAAATCGTTCTCAGTGGCGCAGATGCATCCACTCCTTGTGACTTATGATCTCCAATGAAACTGTTTTGTTTTTCAGGATTTCATCATGAGCTGCATTAGTTAGAGAACCATTGGAAAACTGGGAGTACTGGACACTGTTTCGTCCTAGTTTGGGACTCTTCAGCAGTACGCACCCACCGGGTTCGAACCCAGGAGTTTTGTTTTTCGTTATTACTCTCCTTTGTCTCACACCTCTGCTCACTGTTTCTATTATGCTTTTCTTGTACTTTCTTCTCTTGCTTCGCGTGCTACACGGGATGTGGCGACTTGGACTTCCGCACATTTGTGCAAAGTTCTATGTCGAAAACAGACAGACAGAATCAAGTGAGTGACATCACCTGCAATGCAGGCCATCACTCGACTGGAACCTGAATGAGAAGCGGCGAGTCAGCTGGTCGTCACTTCGAGGGTGACATAGGGGAGGAGGAGGAGGTGATGTGAAGAGAAGATGAAAGCATGTGGGTAGGTGGGCGTGGAAGTAGGTGACAAATTTGACAGGGAACCGAACGCAAAAGAAATGTGTGGCAGGAGCCCTATGTTCCTCAAGGAATTAAACGAAACCATAATTAATATATAGTAATAATGATCATAATCCTTAAATTAGGGCATAGAAACAAAAATCCTGCAACATTTTGTATAATTCCACAAATGGAGAATATTAAGTCGGAGAAATAAATGCAAAACCCAACTGGTGGGAATAAAGTAAACATAACTCTAGCGTAAACAACAACATAAAAAAGAAACAATAATTAATTCGTTTCTTGTATTTTGTTTATTTATTCTTGCTTCTAATTTTGATGTAAACACAAGTTTTGAAATTAACTGCTACAAAGGTCAACAGTGAAATCGAAAAATCAGTAGACCCAAAGAGTCGCTGAAACATGAGCTAACTCGTTGACCTTTAAGCGGACTAAAATACCAACCACCACAGGTTACTTCCAACAAGCATAATGTGTTTGTTTATGCTTCAATTAATAATTTTGTTTTATGAATTATCGCTTCATTGTTTCATAAATTTTAAAAAGAAAGGTTGGTTACCTTATGGAAAAGTTAGGGTTTTTCTTGATGTTCACACCAGTTTAATTTTTAGTCGAGAACTCTTCAGGTGTGTGTGTGTGTGTGTAGAAAGTCATTCGCAGAAAGGTTACCGGATGAACAATCATTCTGCGATCATAATCTCTTGTAGTAATCTATCTCCACTACATAAATCAGACGTTAGAGTGAACAGTGAATCATTGTGTATAACAAACAATAGGTGAGTCAGTAGGACATTAAAAAAAAAGCAACGTAATTATATCAGAATAAGTCGTTCGAAAATTCCGCCTTAACAATTCATTTACTACTACTACTACTACTACTACATAAAAAAGACCAAATCTCTAAAGATTCTCAGTTTGATTGTGCCTATAAAATAGAATGAATGCTCGGAATGTGATCCGATAATCATCGGACAAACATCACCAGAGAGAAGAAATCAAAATCTGAAGAAATAAACACCGTAAAGCCACCTCTCTTCGGCCATCGAGAAATCCAGTTGAACTAGAAAGGCTTGAAATATCATCAGCTAGAGGTCGTCTACATGCTACGCTATAGAATCAGGCCATAGAAATGTTTTTTTTCACAATATTGAAATCATCATCCAGAAAAATTTCAGAAATCATAAAGAACGTCTAATATCATCAGAAGCACTTCATTTGATGAAGTGGAATCTAAATTGTCTGAATAGGAATGATGGACTTAAGCCCTCCCGTCCTCCATGAAATGAGAAAATCAACGCGAATGGGATAAGCCATTTCACCATATAAACACACTTATCAAATCCAAAAGTCATCTACACCTGGTTTCGATATCTTTACGCCAATTGGTCAACTCGACAACGTAAAACTTACCTCATGTTGAGGAACGATGATTACGTTGTTATATATAAGCTGAGTGGATTTTGTAAATTCTGGTTTAATATTACTGCTTTGATAAAGCTGTTAGCAGCATTAAACATCAGTAAAACTGAAATATCGTTTCGTTTTTCATTCATTCATTGAGAAATACAATAAATCTTTATAATAACGAATATCATATACCAAATGCCCAAATTTTTATCAAATTCATCAAAGCAAACTTGTTTTCGGGATGAATATATTGACAGCGCTGAATATTTTGAGTAATTCTTTAGTGGTTAACCTTTTCCTCGTGACCTGTGTACAGTTGTTGCTGGGCTCGAACCCCGGCGGGCGCGTACTGATGAAGAGCCCCAAACTAGGTTGAGAAAATAGCTGTCCAGTACTCTGGTGCTGATTTTCCACTGGTTCTCTAACCAATGTCAGCTCATGATGAAATCCTGTAACCAATCAACCAAATCCCTACAAACCAATACTTGAACATATTTTGTTGTTGATCACGACAAAGAAAGATGTATTTCGATTGCCTCTGCTGTATGTAGAAGTCGTACATTTTAGAGCTTGCTAAAGGTCACCTTGACGTCCAGACAGTATCGATGAGATGAGCTAGTATTGAGCATAGTAGAGTTTTATTTGAACTCTTGCCAAACTCAGATGGAATGGATTCAGAAAGAAAATCAACGATCAATTTGCCTGATCGTACTCCCAATGTGGTTAGAGCTTCTCAAGAGCAGTTAAACCGGTAAATACACATTGAAAAGGTGAAACTTTAAAATTATTCTTTACACTATGTAAACTTACGTAATTTTCCTTTGGCCTGTTGTTCTAACCATTGCGTAACATGATCAACCGCGCGTTTTGATTCCTCGAATAATCTCTTCTGTGTGCTTATGTTATTTCTATCCTCACTGATATTTCCATCTTTCGTACCTTTCTGGATTTGTGCTGTCCAAGTTTCACTGACTGGATCGATGCTTTTATTACCATTATCATTTTTATTATTATTGTTATTATTAGGCTGATTGCCGTTAGTCGAATCACCGTATGCATTTGCAGAGTAAACCTCTGGGTTTTTCTTCTGTTTTTCTTGTCTTAATAAATTAACTAAAACACCTTTAAGATGGTTTTGTTAAGGAGCAATAAATGAAAGACAATTCAGCAAAGGATATTTTCGTTACAAAACGAATTCATCTCCAAAGGCTGTCATGTCGTATTTATATCTAATAATAATAATAATAATTTTTCCTTCACGTTCCCAGTGGAACATGGGACGCCTTCAAGCTAGTGGCTTGAAGTTTCTGTAGCAGTGTTTAATTTTTACAGGATGGGGTTGCTAGCCTCATGCCCAACCTTTCCTCTTCACCAGCATTATTTCTGGCTCAGTGAGGTAAAGGAGTGCACCGGCCGGGGATCGAACCCCGGACCATATGCATGGTCGGCGAGCGTGCTAACCGCTATACCACCGACGCACTTTAATTCTAATAAGCAATGTATAATAGTCGATAATTGAATAACAGGCGTGGGAGTGACGTAATTTATATGATTATTCACTCAGAAGTGGCTTCAAAGGTAAAATTAAAAGTTATGAATTACGTAATACTCAACATTGGTACGGATGAAGAAAAGATTAAGATTGTCATTCAGTAAGAAAAATGAAGGTAGTTGAATGTTCACATAACGATTGTGAAGAGGGTGAGAAAATGTACGAAAGGAACAAGTGAAGGTGATAATAGTGAATTAATTATTAAGGTAAAAGCAAACTGATCACTAGCAATACAGATGAAAGGGGACGACCAATGAAGAGGTCAAGACTATGGTAGAATAACAGACTGGACAAACGTTTTCTATACACAGAGTTCGGGGTTGTATAGACGGATTGTCAACGCCTCCAGCATATACAAATGCTGAAACCTGACTCCCTTTGTACTGTTTGGTCTCACATTATGGATAATCTTGAGAGATGACTGTGGTGGAAATGTGTGGCTTGAATTCACCAAGTTCTAAGGAATTAAGCTGGTAACTGACTTGCATTATCCTTTTTCTAACCATGCTGGATTATGATTGGAAATACGTTTGGAAAGTGTACAGCTTTTGTGGTCAATATAACTAGCTCCACACGAACAGGTGAATTTATAAACACACACTGAAGTGGCCTATCCATAGCGGCAGTTTATCCTTCACACATCCATTGATCATTTGTCAGCTGTCGACATTAATATGTAGCTCAGCTGAAAAGAAGGCATGTCTCAGTGAACCGGATAAACAGTTGTCCTGAATCACAGCTGCGGTGTCACCTTTAAATTCAGTGTTCATGAATAGCAGTCTCTTCGGCACCGTATGGTTTCATTCGAGTTTTTACCTTGTTTACATGTTTTTCTCTATGGATCTTGAGTGATATCCATTTTCCATGAGGACTCATCTGAGTCTCTCCAGTTCACCATCGATTGTGTCACTGGCAGCCATCTATCCTTCTTATTCTTGAGGTTAAGGAGAGGCTGAAATTTCTATTTCTTCTCAAAAGGACCCAAGTATGAAAATTCACGTATTGACCATTTCGTGTTGGTTTCCGATAGACTGATCTTTGAAGAGAACCGTCAGATAGCCTTTTGTTTAGCAGGACATCTAAAAAATGGAATTCCGAATTCATCTTTGATTCCGACATGAACTGAATAGCACAATGGCAGTTTTTGAACGCCTTAGTTATCATTTCGATGTTGGCATTCTCGTCACATTTTAGGGGTAAATATATATAGGACTGTACAGCCTCTGAAGATGATTTTGTCGATAAAGAAAATTTTCATGACTCACTGGGTACTTTTAGTAATAAGTAAGTTGATAAGTAAAATAACTCATTATATAATAAGTTTTGTCTACTAATTAAAAGAAAGCGAAATAATGTTTAGCATAAAACATCTCTGTGTAGGCAAATGCAATGAAGTTCCAACTTGATTTCTGAGAAGTCCTGGGCATGGCACAAACTTTAATGGCTTCAGTATGACTCAGAAAAAGGTAGGCCTTCTTCACCAAGTTCCTCGTTTTCCATCCCTCTGAGTTTAGATGTTCATAAGATAACCACCGTATATCTTTGATTTCTAAGCCAAATTGATTATTTGCTTAATCAATATTTAAATTATTTTTTATTTTTGATTTACAGCTTGATTCCACACTGTATTTTTGGTACAAGTATGGAATTTTCAGCATGGATATCGGTAGCCCAAATTTTGCAGGCCGACCATAGATATCAGGTGTGCGCCGGCGTGGGCTCGAACCCCGGACCATATGCATGGTCGGCGAGAGTCCTAGCCACTGTGCCACCGACGCACACTTAGAAGAGTCCCAAGCTAGGATGAAACAGCTGTCCAGTACTCCCAGTTTATTTCCCAATGGTTCCCTAACCAATATCACGTCATGATGAAATGCTATAATCAATCTGTCAAATCCCTAAAAACAAAATCCGGTGTTCCTCAAGGTGCCGTCCTCTCTCCTTTTCTTTTTTCTTCCTTCCTACACGACCTTCCCCATTCAAACGAAACTAACTTTGTCAAATATGCAGATGATCTGGCTGTATCACTGCCTATCACTTCTGAGTCTGACAGCTCCAAACTTAATAGCTTTCTATTGGACATCAACAAGTGGTCGAAGTCAAATGGTCTTATGTTAAATCCTTCCAAATGTCAGGCACTTGACTTTACTTTCAAGCATCGACGTGACTTACTTGAACTAGTTAGCTCGCATGGTCCCTGTAGCATAGATGGCACGGAAATTGAAACCAAATCAAGCATTAAATACCTTGGATTAGTTCTTTCATCTGACCTTTCATGGTCATCCCATATCTTATCTATCTCTAAGAAAATGTTTCGTCTTACCTTCTACATTAAAAAGTTAAGACAATCAGGTATCAACCAACCTTCAGTTTTGCAATTTTTAAACTCCTGCATTTTACCTATTTTACTCTATTGCTCTCGGTGGCACAGTGGTTAGGACTCTCGCCGACCATGCATATGGTCCGGGGCTCGAGCCCACGCCGGCGCACACCTGATATCTATGGTCGGCCTGCAAAATTTGGGCTACCGATATCCATGCTGAAAATTCCATACTTGTACCAAAAATACAGTGTGGAATCAAGCTGTAAATCAAAAATAAAAAAAAAATAATCTTTCCTGTGCTTCTCAAAAAGATTATATCATATTACGAAGAGTATTAAATGCTGTGAGTAGAGCTTGTGGTCTGCCACTGCATGAGCTCGCTAATACTATAGTCGACAGGCATATAAATGGTCAAAGACTATACTCTCAGACCCTCTGCACCCCCTTTATTCACAACTATCCCCTTGTATCTCGTCAGGTAGGACGAGAAGTCAATATAAAAAGTCATATGCCCGTACCACTGAGTACAGAAATTCTACAATACCCTATTTAGCCCGTACTTTATGTGACAAAGACTCATTTAGACGTGAAACACATAAGCTACTATGTAATTAGCACATTGAATCGACCCTTTCATTGTTCATCTTTCTGTATTTTATGGTGTCACACTTTCTATCGTTTAATCATACCTCTGCTATTTCATTTTAGTTGGTATTACTATTATTACTACAATTTTATACTTTATGCATATTTTTCTCCGTATTGCATACGGTATTTTGCTATGTAGCTGCTATAACATTCGTTTTATTATTATTATGTAATGTGTATTTTTAATTTTTTTTCATTGTCGTTTTTGAGTAAATTAGATGAAATATTGTAGTGAATGCTGAAAATTCCTTGCTGTATCATTAGTTCTGTTTTTGGAATAAAGCAAAAATTATTATTATTATTTGAAAATCAGTGAGATGCTCACCTGCGACTGGCCCTATTCAGGCAGTTAACCTGGGGTTCTGATGATGCGTCGTGACCAATAGCGTACAGCAGGTTGGCTGTCAGGGCAAATACTCACCAAAGATATTGGCTAGTGGTCGTGCTGTGTCGTGAATGATCGGCAGAAGTTGAAATTCATCGACTGGTCATTGGATTGAGTCCCAGTGGGTTAATGGCCTACGACCTTGCCCCCTTGTGACCAGAAGGTGCTGTGTTCGAACCCCAGTGGGTGTGTACTACGAAGAGTCCCAAACTAGGATGAAACAGCTTTACAGTACTCCCTGAAGGTTTTCCAATGGTCTCTAACCGACGTCAGTTCATGATGAAATTCTGTAATCAATCAATCAAATTTCTACAAACCAATATTAGAAAACCTTCATACTTTCAAATGAAAACAAAACATATAAGTTCTTTTGTTGGAAATGTTTCACCACTCTCGGTAACCACTCATAACAGGTCACACTCGTGAATTCTTCAGGTGTCTCTTCAACTAAATGAGTAATCATAATAATTATGTATTAATTTATTCATGTTTTCGTTTGCAAGGATTTAAATGGTTACAGGATATCATCATGAATTGATGTCGGTTAGAGAGCTATCGGTGAACCTTGACAGGTATTTAGTTACCCTAGTTTTCGACTGTTCCGCAGTATGCACCCACGAAACGAGGTTCGAACTTCCGATTACAAGGTGAAGTCATAGACCATTAAGCTACTGGGTGCCAACCTGATACATTTTGCTGCCCATGAACTCCTACTTCTTCCAATAATTCACGACATAAAGCGAATAACACTAGCCGATTTTATCGGTGTCGAGTGTTTGTCGTGACATCCGACCTCCTGTACCCCCCACTGGTCCCCTATTCCCATTATAACCCAAATAACTGCCTAGTTGAATAAGACCAGTCGCTACTCACCGTTAGGTTGAACACAATATATTGGTTAACTTTAACCAGCCATAAAAATTCATTTTATCAATAAGGGAAACCGACATTTTGTCAGATTAAGTAAAAACGCTGTTCTATAGAATCCTAGAGAGAATTAGTATTCAATCATTTTAACACTTAAGGATACGAATTTCGTGATCCCTTTGAGATAAAATTTCACGCAGTTGATTTGCCTCCTTTGTAGTATTCGGTATAGGCGGTACAACCACATGTTTAGTGGACTTTTCAGCTGCTTTGAGTTTTTGAATATCCTTCCAGTAGAATTCCTTATAAATAATAGAGAAACAGAAAAGTAATAGAAATTTACAAAAATCAGGAAAGAAGAAACAGAAGATATGTGTATGAATTCAGCTCAGATGGAAGGTTAAATCTTCCGCTATTAAGCAATAAAAATCTCTTCATTAGTCACAGATGTGAAGGGTACTCAACTTAGTTTTTAATAGACCATAAGTCACCAGCACGAAGCAAAAATAAAGGCGGCCTGCCTAAAAGTTGGGCTACGGAAAACAACCTCCATCAATACATTGCAGATATTTTCTCCTACCTAGTTTGTTTAAATCTAGTAAAATATAAACTCTAATAGTATTGGTTACTCTGGCGAATATTTAAAATGTTCACAACATGCAATTTCGCAAGTTTCGACTAAACATGTGGTGAAAAAGCATCATCCTCGATGGATGGCAGCTTATCCCAATACACGAGATGATTGTTTCTCAGTGATGTCCCTCATTCACAAAATGTACTCCTGAACATTTTATAAACAACAAAATGTCATCGGGTATTTATATTTTTTTTAGAATATTTTTGATTACAGCTTGATTCCACACTGAATTTTTGATACAAGTATGGAATTTTCAGCATGTGATATCGGTAGCCCAAATTTTTCAGGCCGACCATAGATATCAGGTGTGCGTCGGCAGGGGATCAAACCTCGAACCATGGCATGGTCAGCGAGAGTCCTAACCACTGTGCCACCGACGCACAAAGGAGATGAAGAAGAAGAAGAGATATCATAATGGTGGATCGGTTCGTGTTTCAGATCATATAAAACTGTCTCACACGATCCACTGTCAGTCAATCGGTCTTTTGTTTGACGATCGTGGATGTAGAGAAAATATTATGCAATGAACTCGGCTGAAAATTCTTTACATTATATAAGTATCGTTCAGAATAAAGCTATTGCCATTATTATTATATATAAATACATGTTCATTTTCTGAATTACACAGTAAATATCTCTGGAATTATTACATCACCTATGTATGTTTAAAAAAACTCAAAATTCTGATTATACCACTCAAATCCCGTCAGTTGTAAGTCATACACCAACAGTCAGCATCTCCTTGATAGACAGGTAACCGTTTCGATATCATGGAGAATATTTGTAGCTCAGGTGGATAATTTTGACATAGCTGACAGCTGTTCCTTGAGCTGGATGGTTTATAGTTGCGAAGCTTTGATTGCGCTACTAGGCAACATCTTCAACACCCACACTTTAAGTTGGTGAAGTGACCTTTTAGCTTTCTCCACGAGTTTGAAAATCATCTCTCCTAGCGAGTGACCTTGAACGTCATCATTGGTAGTTTTTGTGTGTTTTCACACCCTTTGGGCTACTTGTATTAGTAATGATACAAATAGCCTGAAGGGTGTGAAAACACACAAAAACTACCAATAACGACGTTCAAGGTCACTCAGTAGGAGAGGTGATTTTCAAACTAGTGGAGAAACCTAAAAGCTCACTTCAACGAATTGAAGTATGCGTGCTGAAGATGTCGCCTAGTGGTAGGGCAATGAAAGCTTCGCAACTAAAAATCATCCAGCTCAGGGAACACAACTGCATCAAAGGTAACCGTGTACACAAACAGGATGATTATTAATTGTTTCCATCAGTATTGTCGCGTTAGAGAATATTTCCATGCAGTATCAATCGTTTAAGAAGTTAACGTATTTCTCAGCTATCTTTATTTTCAGAAGAAATTTACTGACTTTTCAGCATTTATCCAAATCCTCTCGGTTTTAATGGAGTTTACTAGAAGGTTACCTTTTGATAGAGTGGTCTATAAAACGCGGTGCTACAGAGTAAAATACTTATAATTAAAATGAAATAATAAATTAGGGCGTCTGTTACAGTTTAAAATATACGAACAAAATCTATAATGAATAAGACTTTATTTTGATAAATCGCACAGTGTTACACAGTAATATTAACTGATGACCACGTTTCGAGTACAAGTTATTGCTCATAATCATATCAGGTCACTACTCACACACAACCCTTTTGCTTCATTTATATACATCAGTAAAAGTCGGTGATTGGACATTTGAATAAAATCAATAATATAAAATAAAGTACATTCGGAATCAATTACAATTAGATGGGAAATAAGATGAATGTTTTTTAGTCGAAATAAGTGACTTGTTAGAATGTCATAATGTACGTGAATTGAAATAGAATTTTAAGGTTATTTATTATCCTCCTCTGATTTGACTGACTGGTGGTGCTAATAATATCTTCCATGTCTCTGGTATTTGCATTGAGTCATTTCCGTTGCATCTGTTGGGTGTAGATTCGATGAACTAGGCAGCATTCAGTAAACGACCTCTCTCTATCTCCAGCCACCTATATTACTTATGAGAATTTCCAATCTGTCCCACATACCATATTATGTGGTTTTTCTTCTAAATTACTTATCTTTGTGGGATCAGTTATTCTAACCTTAGCTAAATTCTTATATTCTGATGATCTCACTACTCTTGATCTATTAGTTTGACTGACCTATGCAGTTGACTACATCCAAAGCCTCAGGATGGTCGGGGGGTGCCTTGCGCTGCGGTTGGCCACCCCTCCGTACACCTCTTGAAATGCTCCCATATGACCGGGCGTCTTACATAGCCTCTCCAAAGTGAGAGGCGAAAGCGGATGCCCGGCGCTCTCCACCGGGTTGACTGTCCATTGGATGACAGTCTAGGGGAGATGGCTAAACCCTGATTCCAAACCTCCAACGACTGGCGTATGAAGCTCACTGGAGCTCACCCGCAGACGTATGGACAAAGGGCTTGTTGGATGTCCTGGATGTCTGGCCCCATTCAAAAAGGCGTATGAACCGAACTCCGGTCACCGGCTGCCAATGGATAGTGGACTCCTTACTCCACTCCTACTGCCTTGTAGGTCACACTTGGTTGTGTAAAGGCTATAGCTGCACTCTGAAACAAAAGACCGAGCGATGCTGGGGACATCACTCGTACCAAATTCCCATGAAACTTCATGAACTCTCTTACAAATTGCCGCGCCTGAGCAGTGATGATTCGAGACGTTCATGAAGCCGGCTCATCCTCCGTAGGAGATAGCCGAAGTAAAGCAAAGCAAAGTTGACTACACTCACGGTCACTGCAAGGTACTTTGTAAATTAAATTATTTTGTCTAACTGGGTCAACTGGGTCCTTTAATCTACAGAGCTTGTCCTATCTGGGTGAGTTTGTAGGTTTGAATGCCTTCACCCTAATTCCTGCTGTATTAAGAATCCGAAGCAGGGCCTCAGATGTCACCTCCTGCCTTATACGGTAAAACTGTAGATGCCTTATATTCTCTCTTATTTATGTGATCATTATTAGTTTCACCATTATATTTATTTTGCTTTTGACCTGTTTTGATATTCCTAGTGAATTTTATAGGATAGTTGGTTATTTAACACCAACCAGCTATTCTTCTGCCTGTTTTATTTCATCATTTAGGTTTTTTCTTGCACTACTAAGTGCTATTGCTCGTTTTGTTAGACACATAACTAAGCCAGGCTTTTACAGACCACGAATAGATAAGATGAATTACAGAGGTCTAAATATCTATTAGCAGAATTCGTTGCCCTTTTTTTATAAACGCTAGTGTGCAGTTTACCTTCTTCTGTTTGTTTTATTTTACAATCTAACATCATAGCTAATTCTTCTTGTTCATTTTCTGATTCAAACCCACATTTTATTATTATTATTATATCCTTTAATTCCTAGAGGAACATAGGGCTTCAGCCACGCGTCTCCATTTGCCTTCAGTTTTCTGCCAACTTTTTCACAACGCTCCAAGTCTGCCCACATGCTTTCATTTCCTCTTCACATGACCTCCTCCAAGTCACCCTAGCACTGACGACCAACTCGCTGCTTCCCTTTTGAGGTTTCACTCGAGCAATGGCTTGTCTAGGGATGTCACTTGATGGTTTCCTCAGAATATGGCTAGCTAATCCATCTCCATTTCTTCCTGTTTCACAATCGGTTCCTGCTGGGTTGGTTCGCTCATTGCCAGAGATCCCTGTTGCTGATCTCTTCTGGCTTGCCATTTGATCTTGAGTAGCATTGAGCGAAGACAACTGTTAATGAAGGTCTGAAGTTTGTTTGAGATGCAATTTATGACGCGCAGTGCAAGTCTCTGATCCCATATTTTATTCCCTTCATAAGTTTAGTTAATTTGATAAGTCTAGCAAACAAGTTATGCGAGTGAGTGAGTGACTTGATATGATGATTATCAGCAGTAATAAATTGTAATCGAAACATGGTCATCAGTTAATATTACTTACTGTATAACCAACACTGTGTGACAGTTTACCAAAATAAAATCTTATGTATAATGCAGTCATAGTCTATCACCACAATAATGCCCAAGTTTTATACTTTCTATGAATGCGAATTAACTCACGTGGATCAGTGAAAAAGCCAAGTTTATCATATGAACATTAGAAAGAATAGGTGTCGGCACAATGACATGTTCACTATTTGTTTGTGGAGTTTTCAGATATTCTTTGATTAATTGTTCACATCTATTTTTGTTTTTTGAAAATAAAATTTTTTTTAAATGGAAAAAAAGTGGAAAACTGACAACAGTAATATTGGGTAGACAGGCAAAATTTGGTAAGGGATTCAACTTTTAGTGAACCTTCATCATTCTGTCAACTAAGCTAAATTGGGCAATCACTAGATTGCCTTTCAGTTACTGGTTATTATTATTATTATTATTACAAAAGAATCTGTTCTTAATTAACTGAATAGCATTGCTTCGCCATTTCTAAGGCTGATGGAAAAACTAGTACTTCTTAAACTCGAACCCTCCCTTAAAAGCCTTGAAGACCCCAAACAATTTGCCTATAGACAGGGTAGGAGCATCTTACATGCTGCAGCCGTCTTACACAACAGTATCCTCCCATCATTAGATAAAGGTGCCAAATACGCTGCACGTTTCCCGACTTCACTTCTGCTTTCGACTCTGTACCTAGATGTCTCTTGCTAAATAAGCTCTCGGTGACACAACCCGAGTCCTGGGTCACTTACTGGTTGCATTCCTGCTTCTCAAACAAAATGCAGTACACTGTATACAAAGGCGAATCCTCTGCTCACTGAAGCTGGTGTCCTCCAAGGTGCTGTAGTCTCCCCACTTCTCTTTTCTTTCTTTCTACATGACCTACCTACCATCGTCAAATGACATTAATTTTGTCAAATTTACTGACGATCTGACTGTATCTTTGCCTATCAAGTGTCATTGTGATTGCTACAAACTAAATGGCTTTTTATCAGAAATTGGCCAATGTTTAAAGGAAAACGGTCGAACCTTAAATACCTTTAATTGTCAAACAGTTAATTTCACCTTTAGGCATAAATCTGACCTAATAAACAAACTGGTTAGAACTCATGAGGTGTGCAACATTGATGACACTGAAATAGAAACCAAGTCAGAAATTAAATACCTAGGCGTCATTCTATCTGCTGATCTTTTCTGGTTGTCTCATATCTTAATGACTTCTAAGAAAATATTCCCTCCCACCTTCTACATCAAGAAGTTAAGACATTCTGGAATAAACCAACCCTTACTCCTACAATTCGTTAACTCCCGTATTCTGCCGATTATTCTCTATTGTTCCCCTTAGTCTTTCCTGGGCTATTGAAGAAGGACTATACCTTATTACGTAGGATGTTAAAGGTTGTCAGCAGGGTAAGCAACGTGCCACTTAGCCAGCTCGTTAATATTCTGGTGGACAGGCACCAGGACTCATGTGAAAAATGGGCTAAATCCATTTTATCTAACTCACAACACCCTCTTCATTTACAACTCTCCCCTTGTATCTCATCAGGCAGGACCAGAAGCCTATATAGAAAACTATATGCTGCACTAATAAGTACGAAATCTCAACCATACCCTACTTGGCTCATGTTCTGTGTGATAAAGAAAGCATTAGGCGTGCAACCTATAAGTTATTAAATAGTCAGTAGAACAGCTGGATCTCGTCTTTCCAACTCATACCATTTATGGGTAAAATGTTTTCTTTCTTTTCTTTCTTATTTTGTTATGTGCTGTTTTGTTTCTTTCTTCCCTACAAATTCAACTTCAAACATTCTTCTTCGTTCTTTCACACTCTGTTTATTTCGACCTTTTTGTTACCGTTATGGGTAAATTTTTGTTTTCATACCACAGTGCACAAGGTTTATTCTTATATCAATTTTTGTTACCGCTTTCACCAGTAAATATGCTAGTATCTACTTTTCTAACACCTTCAAACACTCTGTTCAATTTTGGCTTTGCTACCGACATGCCAATATGTTGTTGTCATAATGAACTGAGATTACCGTAATCTATGTAGAATTTTATTTATTGTTAATATACTTACTGGATGCAATACTGTAGTGAAATGCTGAGAATTCCATTCTGTATCACAAGTAATGTTTTGGAATAAAGTAAATTATTATTATTATTAGTTTAATTCAATTTGCGCCTTCTTTTGATTGACTGGACAGAAGTGCTCGATCTCAGGTTGACATGTCGGATTATTGTGCAGATGCTTCGACAATGTCACATTATTTAACTTAAAGTCAATAAGTGGTTGGTGACTAGCAGTGGAATCCAGGACAATGGGAATTTCACCCTCTTATTTGGGACTAGTTGTCAGCTGGATGTACCTACATTTCCCTGTCAGTGAGTGGTAGTCTTTACATTAGCTCACTGACGACTAATCCCAAATAGGAGGGTGAAATGCGCGTTGTCTTGGATTGTACGGCTATTCACTATCCACTATTTTACTTCAAGAATAGCATTAGGCTTTGAAAAATATCAAAAAAAAGTGGAACTGTACTTTGTCCTTCTGAAATAGAATACAGGCATTTACAACTTGTAAGAATTCGGACGTTCGTCAGTTACATTTGGACTTTATGCTCAGATGTTATTGATTTAAACAATTCATTTTGTAAACTAAAGTACTATCTGATAGCTGTAAGTGTGACAAGAGCAAAGCTTACCATGGCATTGATTTCAGGGTTTCTTTTTTATTTCCTAACGACATCAAAAAACACAGTCATTCAACGACTGTTCTTTACTAACTTTAGCTTTTGCATTCATTAAAGATTCGAAATTTGAAATACTTATTTTAAAGCTGGTAACACTATTGAATTACTTTTATGTGTACAGTGAGTAGTATTAATTGTCAGAGTGATGAAAACAGTATAGTACAGCAGTACACTTCTACTGCATGTGAGTCAAGAAGTTCAGGATACAGTGTGTTATAAATAAACGAAAGGAATACGGTTATAGAATGAAGATACAAGAAACCTACATCAACTGACTGTCAGTATACTTGTAACGATAGAAGACAATGGCCAGTCAATAGATCGTTTATTGAGGAAACCAAGAGATATTTTATATTTTTATGTACATTATTATTCGTTATTATTGGCAGAGAAAGAGCGTCCTTTGATTGGTTGTTTTCTCGCTGAAAGTTATTTCGTCATCTTGTCATTTCTTTGACGTGTTTGCTCCAATCCACTACTACTTGAAGGAACTACTACTGAGGTGCACTTTAAATGTCCAATTCAAGTTCAACAACAGTATTTATAGACAAAGACATGGAGTGTCAATAGGGTCACCATTGGGTCCTTTACTTGCAGACTGCTTCTTGGCAAGTTTAGAGAAGAGTATTTTACGGGCTAATATCGACAGTTTCCATTTGTACCAAAGATACATGGATAATACTCTTATCATAAGTGATGACAATACCAACATCGAATTGATAACTAAAGGGTTCAACAGCTGTCATCATGCCATCCATACCACGTCAGAATCAGAGATGGAATAGTCAATACATGAATCGTCATAGTCGGATCACTTTTAGAAGAAAGAAAAACCTGATCTACTCCTTATCCTCAAGAATAAGAAGCATATGTTCCAGTGATATAACCGATGGAGAACTGGGGCGACTCAGACAAGTCTTCATGGACAATGGATATCCTCCAAGATTTGTCGAGAAAAAAATGAAGTCAATGGAAAAGCCTGAATAAACCCAGACGGTGCTGAAGAAACCGCCGTTCATGAACACTGAATTTAAAAGTGATACCACAGCTGAGATTCAGGAGAACTGCTTATTCAGATCACTGTTAATAGCCTTCTTTTCAGCTGAGCTACGGATCAATTTCTACAGCCAACAAATGATCAATGGATGTGTGAATGATAAATCGCTGCTTTGGGCCACTTCAATGTGTGTTTATAAATTTACCTACTCGTGTGGAGCTAGTTATATTGACCGCAAAAGCTGTACACTTTCCAAACGTATTTCCAATCATAATCCAGCATGGTTAGGAAAAGGACAACGCAAGACTGTTACTAGCTCACTTCTCGAGCACTTAGTGAACTCAGGCCACATATATCCACCAGAGTCGTCTTTCAGGGTCATCCACAAGATGAGGCCGAAAGGCACAAAGGGCGTCAGATTTCAGTATTTGTGTATGGTGGAGGCGCTGGCTATTCGTCAATACAACCCCGAACTCTGTACATAGAAAACGTTTGTCCAGTCTCTTATTCTACCTTGGTCTTAACCTCTTCACTTATCGTTCCCTGTAAAAAAAAATCTGATTTTTTCTTTTCTTTTTTAATTTCTAATTTTACTTTTAGTTTGCTTTTGTTTTAATAATTAATTCACTATTAACACTCTCGTATGTTCCCTGTTGTACATTTTCACACCCTCTTCACACTTGTTGAATTGGCACTCAACTGCCTTTATTCTCACTCAATAACAATTTTAACCTTATCAAGTTTGTAACTTTGTGCCATTGAGTACCATGTAATTTACAACTTTTAATTTTACTTCTAAAGCCACTACCGAGTAATCAAATCACTTATGTCATCCCCCTTCCTATTACTCAATAAAAGACTATTACACGTTTTTGGTAAATATAAGCACGAGTGTACAGCCTGTCAAGATGGTTTCGTCGATAAAGAAAATTTTTTTCGCTGAATCTGTCTGTTATTTCTTTAAAGGTCAGTGCATATACCTGCGTATCGTATCCTCCCGCACAATCTCTGCTGTGATTGGTTGTTGAGTTAGTTTTTGTTTTTCTTCTCTTTTTGTGACCAAGATTCTGGAAGAAAACATTAACGTAAATTGCTGTCTACCAATTTGGCTAGCAGACAGCTCTCGCCACATACTCATTTTTGTGGCTTCGTGACTTTGAAATACAAATGCAATCTAATAAAGTGCTTAGTCCACATAGCAATAACAATCTGCTTTGATGAATGTCCTAATATAGAGCTTAATATTGTTAAACATTTGCTGAGTGAGAACGGTTACCCATAAAAAATTCATCGATAAGAATATGAATCAAAGGTCACGGTAGGCCAAAGTGACAATCAACAGTTCCGAAAATGGCCTTGTCTTTACAACTTTACTTCCTCGGGGATAACATCAGTGAGATATTGACATAACGCCTAAGCAATGTGGTAAAAATGGGCATTCAGTGCTGCTGAATTATACTGTATATTCAAAACCACCCTTATTTTGTGTTCGGGCGTTAAAGATAAACTGTCTAATTTCGCCTCTTCTATGTGTATCTACCAATTGGAATGCTCCTGTAGAGCCAGATAGTTACATAGTCTGTACAATTAGGCGTATTTATCGTCTGATTTCAACACGCCATACTGCATAGTGGTTAAATAAGGGAAAATTAAATACATGCATAACTCTTTTGTGTCTTATTTTGTGGAAAAAGAGAACAAGGTTGATGTTAACGAGGCGGTTTTCAAAGTCGTCTACCCTATACCAACTAATCTCAGTTTTACCTCAAGAATTCGTCTATTACACATACTGCTGAAGTTGTTGGAATCTACATTGGTAAGCCTAACTTATGTATACAAAAGAAGAAGAAGTTGGTTCAGACGATTTCCTCACTTTGGCCATCAAGACTTTAGTGATCTTTAATTTATATTAGAGATTAATTTTACTTGATATTCTATTTACTATTACATTTTTATGCCCTATTACAACCCATGCACCTTTCCTGAGTTGTAATTCTATAGATCCTACTTAACAAATCGATAATATTTAAAAACAACAATATTGTTAATGACGAATATTCTAGAATATTCTATGTATATATATATATATATATATATATATATATATATATTCAAAGTCGTCTACAGAATACGAATCAGTCTTCCTAGGAAGTCTTCCTCGATTTTAGTCCTAGTTTAAATGGCATTATTATCTACTACACCTCTACTTAGTCTCTAACCTGTAATTGCCTCTGTTGCTATCCTGACCTAAGTTGAAACATTTTAGTCATCTAACTTATTAACTCCATCTTACTTTAGTTATTGGCTAATTGACCTTGTTTCTATATTAGATCATTCTTGTATAACCTGATTAATTATCGAAATTTGACGAACTTCATGTACACACACACACACAAATAATAAAATATAAATGTGACTGTACAGCTATATGAATGAATCATATGACCGAATGGGGAATTTTTAAGTTACATAAATAAAATTGGATGTAGGATTTCATCATGAACTGACATCAGTTAGAGAACCACTGGAAAACCGGGGGTTGCGTCAGACTAGTTTGGGACTCTTCATCAGTACGCACCCACCAGGGTTCGAACCCAGGACCTTCTAGTGACAAGGTGAGCTCGTAGACCATTGAGCCACTGGCCGCACTATGTCGTGAATTGGCAGTAGTTAGAATTCATGGGCCACTGGATCGGGTGCCCCTGGGTTCGAACCCCCGGGGGGTGCATACTGATGAAGAGTTCCAAACTAGTCTGACGAAACAGCTGTCCAGTACTCCAGTGCCGGTTTTTCAATGGTTCTCTAACTCATGTCAGCTGATGATGAAATCCTCTATCTAATCAAACTAAATCCCTACAAAACCAATTCTTGAAAACATATATAATTGTAGAGGCAGAAGAGGAAGTTATCTAAAATAATATTCTTTGCTCAATTTTTTTACTAAATATCCGAATGAATATTTTCTCTACAAGAACCTTTATTCAGCACATATCACAAGGTTTTTAGTAAAACGGTTAGCAAGGCTTTGGAACCCTCCTTTTATGCTACTGTTGTGGTGAGAGCAGGCTGCTAGCCGATTGGTCGGCACTAATCTACGTTAAGGTCTAGGTCACTAATATGGGCCGTGAACAAGCCTGAGTCAACAACCAATCACAGCAAAGTTAACGTGGCAAAATATGATTCGCAGAGAGAACTCTATTTGTCAAGGAATCCCGAAACAACCAATCAGAAGCCTGCGTTTGTCTACCTAAACAACCAATCAGATGACTGCGCTTGTCTATAATAATGTAGTTGAAAGATGTATAAATACGTGTTGATTTTCATAATAAAACGATCTGTTGCCTGGCCCTTGTCTTCTGTTGTTACATTTGGTGTCGCTGCCTACCGAAAATGAAAAGCCTATACCCTGCAGTTTTTGATGGAGACATATGGATCTTCGGGCAGGACTTCAAGGCTTCTGCGCAGTTGAGTGGCGTTCAAGATCTGTCAGCGATGGAGCTGCTACTTGAGACGCTGCTGGGAGGTCGGGCGAAAGCAGCATATGAAGGTGTGGGCCGAAGTATGGACGAATGTTCGACAGGGTCAGGCAAACAGTTTCCAAAGTGGGAAGGACCATATATGGTCACTTCGAGATGGGGTTACGCAGACACAGTCGCAATGGCGAACAATAAGAGGCGCGTGAACGTCAGCGAGCTCCAGAAATGGATACAGCGAGACAAGCCAACGATGACGCCTGCACCAAGTAGATCAAGCCGACTTCAGTCGCACGTATTTGACGGGGGGACGAGTGTGGTGAGAGCAGGCTGCTAGCCGATTGGTCGGCACTAATCTACGTTAAGGTCTAGGTCACTAATATGGGCCGTGAACAAGCCTGAGTCAACAACCAATCACAGCAAAGTTAACGTGGCAAAATATGATTCGCAGAGAGAACTCTATTTGTCAAGGAATCCCGAAACAACCAATCAGAAGCCTGCGTTTGTCTACCTAAACAACCAATCAGATGACTGCGCTTGTCTATAATAATGTAGTTGAAAGATGTATAAATACGTGTTGATTTTCATAATAAAACGATCTGTTGCCTGGCCCTTGTCTTCTGTTGTTACACTGTCATAAAGGATAATATATGGAACAAGTGAAAGAAATTGCAGTTTTGAAAGGTGTATAGCCTACCGACTGATTTTAACCCGTTAAAATGACTGAACAGTAAAAAAATAGACTCACCTTTCTTTATCTTCACTAGTCAATGAGGCGTCATTTTCTATTCCTGTGGCTAAGGCTAACTCAGCCTTTAAATGTTCAATTTCAGACTTTAAATGATTGATAGTTAAATAGGGATCTTGTTCTTCATTAAGAGTGATTTCATTTTTGATTAAAGCAACACGTTGTGCAAAACGACACGTTGATAGTGTTTCCTTAAATTCAAATAATTTTATATTTGTAAGAACAGCTTCATTATAGAGTCAGTATTTACAAAAATATTAGTCTAAAATTGTTGAGACAATGATTTTCCAAACCGTGTAAGAAGATATTTTCTAAATTGATGTAGAAAAACAGACCTAAAGTATGAATCTGTTATCAAACAAGAGCTAACATCGATTAACGAACCGCCGAAGATCAGTAACTACCATACAGCTGTTTCGCTCTGGTTTAGGACTTTTCAACGGAGCTCACCCACCAAGGTTTGACCCCAGGACTTTTCAGTTACAAGACGAGCTAGTAAACCCACTTCATTGTTTATTTATCAGTTTACTTGTTCGTCAGGAGCAAAGTATGTCAGCCGTATGCAACGTCAAGTCCACAAACGTATTCTGGAACACTGTCTAGCTTGGTTAGCCAGCCAGAGAAGAAAAGAAGAATATCAGCATCTCTATCCTCGAACACCTTGTCATCTCAGGACATCAAGCACCCCACCAGCATGAATGCTTCACAGTGATACACAGAGTCCCTCAATATCGTACAAAGGGACTTCGGATACGATATCTGTACATAGCTGAAGCATTAGCTATCCGAGATCTGAAACCAAACCTCTGTAGTCAAAAGTGATACATACATTCTCTTGCCTTACAGTGGCCAGAGTAAAGTCCTTACTATAATTTTGCTTCCTTCTTTTATTATGTAAGTTCACTATTATTATTATCATTGTTAATACTTTTATTATCATTATTATTCCCATCATCCATATTTTATTACCACTCTATTACTGTTTATTAATAACATCGCTTCTTCATACAGAACCACTATCGCTTTTCCACTAGTTCCTTTCCATTCTACACGAGCTTATTGATTAGTCATTATCTCACACTTATTACGTCATGCCAACTCCTGTCTCTTTTCTAACTTACAATTAGTCATTCCTTCTAACACCTTACATTATGTAATACAATTTCTCAAGGACAAAGTTTACCACTATCTGATTGGTCTAAAGATTTCTTTGTTTAATATAGTTACGATTGTACAGCTCATGAAAATGAATCATCGAAAAGAAAACTTTCTTCGCTGTTTGTGCTTTTTTCTTATGACTCAATATGGGAATGTTTTGTTCGTTAAACCCGATATATTGGTTCAGGATCCCAAGTGGGCCCTGTGACCAATCACATCCCTGGAGACAAACACTTGAAAATTTCTGTGTGCAGACAGAAGTCACTGGACGGCTGACGTCATCAATAACCTTATTCATAAACTGTCAGAGACCATCGAACTTTGAAAACTAAAAGTAATAGCATCGTACGTGTGCTGTAATTCGACTTTTGCAACTATACAAGGTAGATTTCCTCAGAAACTAATATAAGACAAAGAATAAGTTTCACTGAACTCTAATTTTGTTCTAATTTAAGGATGTTCAGCAGTGGGCATGTGCGTCAGTGGTTTAGTGGTAGAGTGCTAGGCAACCATGCACGTGGTCCGAAGTTCGAGTCCCTGCCGGTGCACGCATTTACCTCCCTTAGGAGGTTATAAACCCGACAAGGAGGGAAGGTTGGGCATAAGGCTAGCAAGCCAACCTCGTGAACAAACGTCATCGATACTGAAATTTCAAAGCTAAAGCAGGAAGCCCTGTGTTCCGCTGGGAACTCAAAGGAATCTAAAAAGGAAAGCAGTGGACACAGATAACTGCGTGTGAATCTAGGGCCTTCATTATGTGGTAAATGAGCTTTATCACAAGCTGGGGAAGTAGAATCCTGACTCAAAAACTGAATAGTAATTTTTCCACCAAAAGAACTGAATGAATAGATGTTATGTTTTCTTGAAAATATAAGTTCCTACCTTCAAGAAATTCTAACCTAGGATGAGACTAGTGTTCAGCGGTGCTTGGTGATTAATTTTTTCTCTCTCTCTCTTGTATTGAATTCTGAAGGTATCTGTCCTATAATTATCAAAATCCCTAGTGACCTAATAACTACATTCACGATTTGAATAAAATCAACTGATTGTTTTGCTAAAATCGTATACATAATGTCGTATTTTCAAAAAGGATCATAGCTCTCTAGCAGTTGCTTTTGGGATGTCATCTTTTAGTACTTTCACCGTTAAGTAGAGTGAAATGTACCCCAGGGAACAAACATGTAGTTGCAAGTTGACAGCTTCGATTTGTGTAATCAGTTTGACCGACCTCTGCTCCAAATTATCAATAAGATGCAGTAAGTAAGTAAGTGAAAAGTAACAAATTGGCAGAAGAAGCATCAAAGATAGGACTTCAGGTAAACATAGAGAAAATAGAGGTGATGAAGATTCCTGGCCAACACCAACACCAACAGCAACAACAACAACAGACAACAATCAGCCAGCATAAATGGGAGGAACCTGAAAGAAACAACCTCCTTTACCTAGTGATCTGGGAAGCATCATTTTAACTACAGGCGGAACTGACGAGGATATCAAAGCCAGAATCGGAAAAGCAAGACAAGTTTTCACCACTCTCAAGTCTGTGTGGAGGTCAACATCACTCACCATCAAAAATAAGATCCGTCCGGATTTTCAACTCCAATGTGAAGTCAGTCAGTGCTACTCACTATACGGATGAGAGACTTGGCGCGTCATAAAGAGCATCTCAAACAAACTACAGACCTTCATCAACAGCTGCCTTCGCTCAATACTCAAGATCAGATGGCCAGAAAAGATCAGCAACAGAGATCTCTGGAAGCGAACTAACGCAGCAGGAACCGATCGTGCAAGAAATAAACAGGAAGAAATGGAGGTGGAGTGGCCATACTCTAAGGAAACCATCAAGTGACATCACTAGACAAGCCCTCGAGTGGAAACCGAAAGGGAAGCGGCGAGTTGGTCATTCAAGTATGATTTGCATGAGGTGATGTGAAGAGGAGGTGAAAGCAAACGGATAGACTCGGAGCCAAGGAAAAGGTTGGTAGAAAACCAAACGCAATGGAGACGTGAGGCTGAGGCCGTATATTACTTAAGGATTTAAAGGAAACAATAATAATAACAATAAGTAACTTTGTTAAGCACCAAATTGAATAGGAGTGAAGACTTACTTGTAAGTTCTCTTGTTCAATACTGCAAGTGGCTATCATTGATGTCATACAATTCCCTCCTAGACTATCTCGTAACATCATTGTCATCATACTATTGCGGTAAGGAACATGCGTACGCTGTTTCTCAGCTAATGCTATGATGACCTATGTAAAATAAAATAAGTAATGTGTATCGCAAATGTATGTGCCTATAAAAATAATTTTAAAATGTATATACAGCCATTCTTTATAGATTGTTTTAAAGTCTGAAGAGTCAACCACTTCATATATACGAATATAATAAAACTACACAGCTAATATAAGATGGTAGAAGGCAATCATCCACAGGAAGCCTTGGACCTACCGTTTGTGATAGTTGGCACTCACAGTCAGCAAGGCGTATCTGTAATCACCAGCCCGAATAGCTCATTGGCAACGTTTCTGACTACAGCACTGGGTGACGCGGGGTCGAATTTCAGAAGGGGGGGAAATAAATCCCTTCAGAGATGTTGATACGCCTTGATGACTGACGAGTTGATAATGCATCACATCCAATTCTATCAACGTGTCACTCTTTTCTTTTATTCCTTTGCGTTCCCAGTAGAAGGTAGGTAGAGCTTCAAGCTACAGACTTGACGTTTTAGTAGCACTGATATTTATTTTATTTACGGAATGGGGTTGCAAGCCTCATGCCAAACCCTCCTTCTTTACCAGTCTTCCAACTGGTTTAGTGGGGTAAAGGAGTGAGTTGGTGGCCGGAAATCCAACTCCGATCCACCTGCTTGGTTGGCAAGCATTCTGCCACTGTGTCGCCAAAGCCATATGTCGCTCTCCTATAGATGAATCTGCAAAATGGCTTGCTAAAGTTTTAAGCCCAGTGTACAACAAATTATCTAAGTTTACTCTGACTGATACATTTGAAATTTTTGACTGTCTTTTAGACATGAACATAACAGATAGGAAAATGACTTCTTTTCGTGGTAATTCCTTGTTTACTAATGTACCTTTGATTAAGACCTCTAATATTCTTTGTGACTATCCATCTTCTAGTTGTTTTTCATCCCCTTTTCCTTTATTACTATCGTGTACTGACAACGTCCATTTCACTTTTGAAGGGTCTTTGTTAACTGATGCTTTTATGTCTTGTGTTGAAAATTTGTTCCTCGATTTAATTCCTAAAGCGACCTTCTATAGGAGATATATAGACGAATACATTTTGATATGTGATGATCATGAAAATGCCAGTCATCTATTAGATAGACTTAAACTCCGTACAGAATTATATAAGTCTAACGTGTGAGGAAGAAAGTTACAACCAGCTTGCATTTCTAGACATACTTCTGAGTCGAAGAGATGATGGTTCAATAAGCCGATCTATCCACAGAAAGCCAAACTTGGACAGGGCAATACCTTAATTTTCACAGCTTCTGTCCACTACAGTATAAGAGAGACTTGGTGGAATGTCTATTTAGGAGGATTCAACGTATCTGCACTGCTGATGTGATAGAGAAAGAAAATGAAGTAGTGATGGATACTCTCGGTGAAAACAGATATTCTTTTAAAATCTTTGAACAGGTGTAGAAGTCAGTTAGTCTTTAGACCTACAATCTATACCGCCCCTAAGAAAAATGTATTCATCGAATTACTATATAACCGGGGAATAAACAGTAGGATTTTGAGAGAGAGGTTAAATTTGGTAATCCTTAGGACCTATTATGCAACCCGGCTTGTAACTATCGGAAAAGCCAAAAATACACTCCACTACGAACCTTAAAAGTGCACAAGTGATTATGTCACATCTCACATTATTAGCCAATTTGTGTGTGGACATACATACATAGTGAGGAGAAATCGTCCTTTGTATGTTAGGGTGGGAGAACATCTCCCGAAATGGTTATAAAGAAATGAACTTTGGGAAATCCATAGACGTAGGTGACAGACTACCAACTTCGTCTGTAGCCAAACATCCAATCTATAAAACAACATAATGTCAAAACAGCTTTTCAGGTTATTTTTAAAAACGTCAAGAGCGCTTATTAAAATAATGCTGAGGAGTTTTCTATTCATCAGCTTAAGCCCCCGGACCCCACCCTTTATGTCTTTGAAAACAATTCGTTATGATTCCAGACCTACCTTAGTAATCCTTATCTGATTGGATAACCAAACGTGGTGTTAATTATTCTTGTAATTTTTACGAGTTCGCCCACGGATTGATATCATTTGGAGATCCATTGAAAACCAGCACTGGAGTACTGGACAGCCGTTTCATCCCAGTTCGCGAATCATCGGCAGTACGCACACAACACGGGGGGGTTCAAACCCACGACCATGATGTCCAACTTTTGCCAATAATTCACGAAATAAGGTGACTGGCATTAGCCATTGTCATCACTGATGAGCATCTGTACTCAAACTCGACCTGCTGTACGCTACTGGGGATATTGATGATGATTTAGCCCAAAGGGAGTACTGAGATATTTTTATAATTAGGAAAAGTGATAATGAAAGCTTCTGATGATATTAGATAGTCGGAGGCAATCGGCCACAGGAAGCCTTGGCTGAACCCAGGTTCCGTGCTAGTTGGCACTCATCAGTCAGCAAGGCGTATCTGTAGTCACCTTGAAGGAACTCATGTCCCTTCTGAGATTCGAACCAGCGTTGTTACCCAGTCCTGCAGTCAGAGACGTTACCACTGAGCTATTCGGGCTCGCGATTGACCTCATGTAGGACTGTAGTGGATACTTTGATTGGATATGAAAGGACATGAGTTCCTTCAAGGTTGCAGATACACCTTGCTGATGAGTACCAACTAGCACGTAGCCTAGGCCAAGAAAGGCTTCCTGCCGATTACCTTTAACCATCTAGTATCACCAAATCAGTCTACACCGTGATGGCAAGCTACCTAGCTAACATGGTGGCCACATTGCCAAGCTGGCTGACTGATAGGATTCAATCTGCACCAAAGAAAGGACTAGACACGTCACACTAGTCACCGACTAGTGTCCAAACAAATGAAAGCTTTTGTTAAACACACTTCTGAGCATATACTAAATAAAAGTGGCAAATACCTATTATTAAAATAAATAAATAAAAACGTATGAACCTTCTTTGTTTCGAATGTATAACTAACCTGTTCTAAATAGTGTAATGACAAATTGATATACTTTGCTTCTGTTAACAAAGTACCATCTAGACCACATTTGTAGACCCTTTCCGAACTATAATGAATGAAAAACAAAAATAAACAATAAAGAACAAGTCAGCCTGACATTTTCACTTATAATAATAATAATGAAAGATAAAGAAACGAGTTATCAACAACTGAGAAGCGTAGTTAAACATCAAATGAGTACTGTTCAATGAATTGGAATTTGAGGTAATTTTTGCTATAAGTGAAAAAAAAAATAATGAATACATCTCGGTACTATTTAACACCTCTGTCATGAATATGAACCATTTCGAAAGGTTTGGAAATGGACTGAACCTCTTTACTTCACACCATCATCTTCAAGGAGAAACACTGGACTGAACACTTCAAAAGACTACTAAATTGACCGCCACCTACAACACGCCCAACAATACCAACAACGGAAGCAGAACTTCTACCAGTGAACATCAACCCCACCGGCGAAATCAGAAGTCCTGAATGCAATCAAGATGCTAAGAGCTGGAAAAGCAGCAGGACTAGATGGAATCCCAGCAGAAGCATTGAAAATGGATCCAGAGACAACAGGAGACTTGATAACGCCATTACTCGAGAAGGTGTGAAAAAAGGGTAAGGTACCCGAGGATTGGAAGAAAGGATACTTATTCAAACTACCAAAGAAAGGAGACTTACGTCAGTGCAAGAACTGGTGCGGCATTATGCTCCTGTCCATTCCAAACAAAATACTAAGCCACATCAGCCTGGAGAGAATCAAACAAGCATGGATGCAAAACTCCGACCGGAACAAGCTGGATTTAGGAGAAACAAGTCATGTGCTGATCAAATCGCCACACTACGGATCGTCATTGAACAGAGCTTGGAATGGCAGTCACATCTCCATCCCACTCAACTTCATCGACTTTGAAAAGGCCTTCGACAGCGTAGATCGAGAGGTCATTCGGCAACTACTTCGCTACTACCAAGTGGTGCCGCCGACAATTATACATCTCATTCAACAGTTATACGACAATGCTGCATACTTCGTAATCCATAACGGGAAACTCGCGGAATCCTTCTAAGTGAAGACGGGAGTAAGACAAGCTAGCTAGCTGCCTACTATCTCCAATGATTTTTCTGATTCCCGTAGACTGGATAATGAGACAGACAGTGGGCAATGAGGAAACAGGTATAAAATGGAGGGTCTGGACTTCGCCGATGACATATTTATGTCTCATTTCCCACAAACTGGAAGATATGCAAGTGAAAAGCAACAAGTTAGCGATGGAAGAAGCATCAAAGATAGGACTTCAAGTGAACATAGAGAAAACAGAGGTGATGAAGATTCCTGGCCAACACCAATACCAACAGCAACAACAACAACAGACAACAATCAGCCAGCATAAGTTGGAGGAATCTGAAAGAAACAACCTCCTTTACCTACCGATCTGGGAAGCATCGTTTCAACTACAGGCCAGAGGAACTGACGAGGATATCAAAGAGAGGATCTTCGGAAAAGCAAGGCAAGCTTTCATCACTCTAATATCTGTGTGGAGGTCAATAGCACTCAGCATCAAAAGTAACATCCGGATTTCAACTCCAGTGTGAAGTCAGTGCTACTCACTATACGGATGAGAGACTTGGCTCGTCATAAAGCGCACCTCAAACAGTGTACAGACCTTCATTCATTGTCTTCGCCCAATACTCAAGATCAGATGGCCAGAAAAAATCATCAGCAGAGATCTCTGGCAGTGAGCGAACCAACCAGGAACCGATTGTGCAAAAATAGACAGGAAGAAATGAAGATGGGTTGGGCATACTCTGAGGAAACCATCAAGTGACATCAGTAGACAAGCCCTCGAGTGGAACCCCTACGGGAAATGGCGAGTTGGTCATCAGTGCGAGGGTGACTTGGAGGAGGTTATGTGAAGAGGAGATGAAAGCATGTGGACAGACTTGGAGCCAGGTGAAAACTCTAGCAGAGAACCGAACGCAATAGAGATGTGGGGCTGAAGCCCTATGTTCCTCTACGAATTAAAGGAAAGAATCATAATAATCATCTTCCAGGCACTCATGTCCAACGCCGAATGGAAAACGATAGGTTAGGCACCCGGTGGGTGTGATATGGTAAAATTTGTGTAGAAGAGACTGATAACTTATGAGCAATCGTAGAGCCAGCTAAAAACTACTCCAGCGAACAGACGGATATGGTGATGCGTTGCTAAATGTTATATCCTATTTGGAACCCATAGGAATACTTAATTTAAATAATCACAAAAATACCGCCTTCTTATTAGTCAGAACAATAATTTAATTCGTGAACCTTTTCATCGGCCATCAACCTCATTGTGTCACTTGCGTAGTTGTACAGGTTGAGATTTCACAGTAATCTTGAGGCAGATATTAAACCAAATTATATAATTTTGTGTGTAATACCTCTAGAAATTTATTTTCTAGCCACACATCTCATACTGTCTATTCATTTTAGAAATCCCAACAAATATTGTTTATTTGAATGAATTTTCCTGTTAAGTTTTATTTCAGCGTTTTATGCCTACATTTAGTAACAAGTATTTGTATCAATTCAGGCAATCATCACGTAGCTTCCTTCTACCTTCTGCAGTCATCTAACCTCTCAGTCAGCAGTCAGTGATCGTCATGGGCAACTGTAAGTTTACAATTAATGTAACTGAAGTGGGTAAAAAGCGGGATAATTTTTACTGCCCACCGAATCAATGAGCATTTGGTATTGTAAAGCGGAATCAGTTTAGAGGCGGGAAATTTCATTTTTATTATATTTTCGATCATTGTTGATCCTTCTTCCCCTTTCTTTTGAGTAAGGCAGAAGAATGTTATATAATTTACATTTATAATAACTTATGTTTAAAACGGTTAGTTCCCTTTATGAATTTAGATAAAGCAATAAGAAGACGTAATTTGTCTGAATCGTGTAATATTGTATTTGCGCCCACTACACATTTCGAACAATCTGACCACACACACGAACTTGTCATACGAATATATATGAAATTAATAAAGAGGTAAGAAAATAGACTACTTAGGTCAAGTTAAAAAGACATATTCAAAGTCAAAATAACAATGAAGACCACTAAACCAAATAGCAGAGGTAATTGTACATCTGCGATGGTATCAAAACAAAATTTACCAAGGAAGGTTTAATGTGATGACAAATTGTTTTTGAACGCATAAAGGTGGCTTGAACTTTCTAATTGCTAGGGCTTCCACAAACTTTAGGATATGCCCTCCCCCAAACACGTTTTATAGATAGGTTTAAAATATCTGTTAACATCAATCGTATGTTCTGTCTCTATAATATGTTTCGCAATAGAAGAGCCAGGTCTCCTGTTCTCACCGTTAATAGATTCTGATGATTCCATTTGTTTCTGCAGCCATTTAGGAATAGGGTCTGAAGCCAGCGCTTACTTGCAGAGATCGATGTGTCCTCGCTATGTATGTGTGTCCACACGTACATTCAAATTGGTAAATACAGTGGGATGTGACATCATTTTTCGCATGTTCGAAGGGCTTAGATAGATATAATGGCTTTACATTCTCTATTATTATGATATTAGCTGCATAAAAAGTCTTTTTAACAGCAGCGTTCAATCTTTGTCTAGTTATCAAGCTGCTATGATGCCTCATATAGGGTAGCTTGAGGTACTTTATATTTCCTGATGAACTTGTCTGGATAATTGTTATCAACCAGAGTTTGTGTCAACTTTCTTTCTTCTTCATCGAATGTGTCTTCAGTGCATATTCGTTGGATTCTACTGAAGTGGCACCTCAATCACTAAGGCTCTTTTGTACTGAACAGGACAGAAACCCTGGTAATTAAGATATTGACCTGTCCAAGTAGGTTTTCTATAAATAGAGCTTTTTATTAACCCATCAAGCCAAGTAGGGAGTGAGAGAGCTGGTAAAGTATGCTGACCACTTCACTTATTTAGGGATTTGTATTAGCCGACACCAGAGGGTTGATAGCAGATGATATCTCAGCACGGATACAGAAGGATCGTTTGCCGTTCGCCTGTCATCTTACGCCGTCTCTGGCTTAGTAGACTTAATATCCGACCGGCTGTTGATCAAAGGACAAATGCACTAGTCAGCAACACTTCGCTCCGTCCTCCTTCATTTCCATGAGCAAGACATAGCCATTGAAAAAAGATGACATGAAAAGGCCGGCCAGCTGTCTTTGATCATAAATGTCCGTGTTAGGTGTTATATAGTGAGTAATATCGAGGATAGCTTTCAGTAGAGTGTTAGGTAAGGAGAGGAAATCAATAGACGAAATTGTGAATTTACATCAACAGAGATGATTAGGACATGTGTTACACATGCGTGTCTAGACATCTATAACCTTTCTCAACGACAGCCAATGTTAGCTGACTGACATGTGATGGATCAGGTTGGTAAAGAGCTATTGTTGGCAAAACCAAAACATGGCTTCATCAGTCAATGAAATGCATAGCAGTTAGTTTAAGCAAGCCGTAAATGTGTAGACTTCTTGGCTGGTTAGGGTCCTTGGGATAGCACAAACCAATAGCTGGAGACTTTTAGTGATATGGCTCAAAATCCTCGTTCTCAATGGCTGGACAGATGCATTCACTCTTTGTAATTGATCATATTCGATAAAACAATCTTCCATATTACTCTTCTTTTTCCGTCAGTCACAATTCTACTTATTATGTCTTTTTCCAATTTCTCTTTACTCTCTTCTCTTGCTTTATGTAGTAAATGCTAGTGTGGTGAGAGCAGGCTGCTAGACAATTGGTAGACATTAATCTACGTCAAGGTCTAGGTCACTAATATTGGCCGTGAGAAAATATGAACAAGGCTGATTCAGCGACCAATCACAGCAAACTTAACGTGGGTAAATATGATTCGCAAATAGATGGCTCTACTTTTCAATGGTTACCCGAAACAACCAATCAGAATCCTGCTTTTGTCTGATTAACTTCTGAGAAACAACCAATCAGCAGACTGCGTTTGTCTACTTGAATAAGCTATAATAATGTACAGGAAATATATATAAATACGTGTTGATTTCCGTAATAAAACGATCTGTTGCCGGCCCTTGTCTTCTGTTGTTACACTAGGAATGTGGCAACTCGAACTGCTGCACATCTGTCCAAATTTTCTACTTTGAAATTAGTCAGACTGTAGAAATTTAACAGCACTTTCCGACTAAATAAAGTCGGTGCATGAAATCAATCCACTGGAATCTTCACTAGCAGAGGAAAGTTTTAAAAAAAATCAATTTTTCAAACAGAATTTACAGTTTGAAATCCAGAAGGCTTTATACACAGTGTTGAAATAAAATAAGCAATCCCAGGAATAATGAGATTCATAACATGAAACATCAAAAAATAACTAAATTACCCAGCTAAATCGACAAGATGTAGTTTTGAACGTCGTATCACTGATGAACCGTGTGTTTGTGATGTTATATGCATAGTAAAAATACAATGTGATCTAGTGGATGCTTCATTCATCGGTGTCTAAAAAATATTTCAACAAAGAAGACCAGTCCTAACAACAGTAAATTAAAATCACAAATGACAAACGATAAGTTGAACATACAAATTTTTAATTTACAGTGAAAGAAATGAAACGGAACTTAATTCACTTCATAGTGTTTATTGTTCTCATTACAAATTATCTAAAATAATTCCAGTGTCTAAGAAAACATCAGAACAAAATTTAAAGAATTTTTATCATGATTCAATATGGACTTTTGGATGACTAATGCCTCGGCTATGCCCAAATGTCTTAATTTTACTCTCTTTGATAGGTTTGATCGAACCTTTGATATAAGAATAAAACTTGTGCACCGTGGTAGAGTGTAATTCCATTATGGGTAAATTTTGTTTTGATAAAGTCTCACAGTGTTATACAGTAATGTTTACTGATGACCTGTTTCGAGCACAATTTATACTGCTCATAGTCATATCAAGGTAATCACACGACTTCCTAAATTCATTTATATAGTTCCATTATTTTTCACTTGATTTGATTGGTAATAGTATTTTCCATATTTCAGGTATGAGTGATGAGTCATTCCTATTGCATGTCTTTGGTGTAGACTCGATGAACAGGGATTCAGTAATCAACCTCTCTCTCCGTCCACCTAAATAGATTACTTTTTAGAATTTTAACCCTCTCCCACCCAACCTATTGTGTGGTTATGTGTTAATGCATACATTGCAATTGGTGAGCTTTTTTCTGATTTACTTATCTTCTCGGGTGGGGTCAACCATTCTTACCTTAGCTAAATTCTTATGTTCTGACAATCTGACTACCCCTGACCTACTAGTTTGACCTATATAGTTGATCTCACAGTAAATGCAAGGCATTTTGTAAATTAAATTATTTTGTCTAATTGGGTCAACTGGGTCCTTTAACCTACAGAGCTTGTCCTATCTAAGTGAGTTTGTAGGTTTAAATGCCACTCTAATTCCTGCTTTCTTTAGAATCCTATGTAGTGTCTCAGATGTCCCCTCTTTATATAGTATAACTGTGGATGACTTATATTCTCTCTTATTTATGTAATTATTACTAGTTTCAAAATTATTTTTATTTTGTTTTTGGCCTTTTTCGATCTTCCTAATGAATTTTAAAGGATTGTTATTCAACACCAACGTTTCTTCTATCTGTTTTAATTCATCATTTAGGTCTTTTTTTGTGCTACTTAGTGCCACTTCTTGGTTTGTTAAACACTTAAATAAGCCTGCCTTAACAGTTAAGGGATAACACGAGTCTACACCCAACACATGCAATAGGAATGACTCATCACTCCTACCTGAAATATGGAAATGACTATTACTAGCCATTTTGGAATATGTTCTTTTCGACGACATTGGAACATTCTGTTAGTTCTACCTATATAGGTGTCACCACAGCTGCAGGTGAGGCCCATTTTAGACATGTCAAATTCTCCTTATCATAAAATCGCCAAATGGATTACAGAGGTCCTTACGCCTGTAAGAGACTCATTATCAAATCATTCTGTAAAAAGTTCATTTGATCTTACAGAAATGCTGGACACCTTGAACATTAAGGAAAAGGTTATGTGTTCAATTGACATAGAATCTTTATTCACCAATGTTCCCCTTCATGAAACTGTTGATTTTATTTGCGATTACATCACAAGCAACGGCATAAACTTACCCATTCCCGTCACTTACATCAAAGACATAATCTTAATGTGTACAGAAAATATTAGATTCACATTCCAAGAAAAGGCATATAAACAAATCGATGGTGTTGCGATGGGGAGCCCTCTGGGGCCCCTGTTAGCAGATATATTTATGTCGAAATTAGAGAAACAAATGCAAGGTATGCTTGGAGGATTTATGCTGTATAAACGTTATGTAGATGATACTCTTATTATTGGTAATAATAGTAAATCTATTGAAAACTTCATTACTCTATTTAATCATATTCATCCAAATATTCGAGTGACTTCCGAACTAGAATCGAATAACAAACTCGGTTTCCTGGATATTACTATGATTAGGAGAAATGATGGAACGATTCAGCGCTCTATTTTTCGTAAACAAACATGGACTGGACAATATCTTCATTTTACCAGTTTTGTTCCTATCCAGTATAAACGTTCCCTAGTGAAATGTTTGTTCTCAAGGGCCCGAAAAATATGCACGAGTGACACACTGATGGATGAGCTTCGACATGTACATTCAGTTTTATTAGCTAATGGTTATCCGGAGAGCTTTATCACTTGTCACAGCAAAGAAAAACCACATCTCGAAAAGACAGCTTCTGTACCAAAGAAAGCCATCTTTATTAATCTACCATTCAAGGGCGACCAGATTATGCAGTTGACAACTCAAAGACTTCGATCAGCCATCAAACGCACATTCTACGCCGCATCTCTTTTTCTCACTTGCCGAACATTTTCGATCCCTGTTCCTACGATTAAAGGACGAAATTCTGTGGACTCTACTTCAAACTGTATCTACAAGTTCACCTGCAGCTGCGGTGACACCTATATAGGTAGAACTAACAGAATGTTCCAATGTCGTCGAAAAGAACATATTCCAAAATGGCTAGTAAATCATATCGAAAATCCTAACGCGATTAATCTTAATAGAAATCCAGCATCATCCATTGCAAAACACTTATTAATGTCTGGTCACAAAATCAATATTAATGACTGTTTCACAATTATTTCACATAACTCTAATTCAAGGTTATTGAAGGTGATGGAAGCACTTTGGATTAATCACATACAGCCTAAACTGTGTGTACAAAAATCAATAGACTTCAATCTTCGCCTACCCTGGACTGCATGACCTATCTTAATATGATTGGTCATTAGTATGTACTTTTGTTTTTATTTAACTGAGTAATTTTCATGAACTTTATTTTATCATTGTTAACCATGTTAGTTGTAAAGCGGTTGTAAAGAAACTACGAAATGGATATCATCTCGCGAAATTTGTCTTCTTAATGCCTTGTAATTACTTTAACATTTTTCTGATTTTCGTTTGACAGAAATGCAAAGTATATGTCATACACCCAGTAAGTCACCGAATACATCATGTCGGTTAGTCAAGAGTAAGTAAAAGGCAAGTTGTAGTGTTCTCCCAATCCAGTATCTTTTTATAGGTGAAAAGTTCAGGTGTTTTTAATGCTACTCATCTCCTTACCAAACTAATCGATACTGCCGAAAACAAAACTGCAGCCTTCTTGATTCAATAACCTTGGAAAAGATCGTTGATGGTTCTCCTCACTCGTCGATAACTCTAACTTAGATATTCAGTCGATGTTTCTATAATGGGAGGAAAGATCAGTCATCGACTCGCCTTTCAGACAGCGCAGAAATGTATAACACTAAACTTGAAATAATTTATCTTTCCAATAAAGATATTGTCGTTGTCACACCAGTGTGGCAGAATGACACAAAGAAATCAATAGTGTGTGAGAAATGAGTACTTAACAGGTGGTCACATGCAGGGAAGGGGGAAGAAACAACATCAAAACAACACCGAACCGAATATCTCTTACCTGGAGTATTATTAAGGTGTACCTGTACAATTAGGGAAAGATATTCATGCACAGTTAAGACAATAAAAAAAACAGAGTTCATAGTAATCACATGGATGAGTAAAAATTTTCACCTGCTTTAAAATAACTATTTTAATATCTAATTGTTTTAACGATGCTGTTATTTTAATATTACGTCATTATAGAGACAATATTTAACACTTTTGGTCTGCAGATTTAGTCAAATGTGTTATTACATACTTTAATTCCTAGAGGAACATAGGGCTTCAGCCACGCGTCTCCATTGCCTTCTGTTTTCTGCCAACTTTTTCACAACGCTCCAAGTCTGCCCACATGCTTTCATTTCCTCTTCACATGACCTCCTCCAAGTCACCCTCGCACTGACAACCGACTCATCACTTCCCTTTCGGGCTCCACTCGAGCAATCGCTTGTCAAGTGATGTCACTTGATGGTTTGTTTTCTCATAGTATGGCCAGCCAATTCACCTCCATTTCTTCCTGCCTATTTGTTTCACAATCGGTTTCTGATTGGTTCGCTCATCGCCAGAGATCCCTGTTGCTGATCTTTTCTGGCCAGCCATCTGATCTTGAGTATTGAGCGAAGACAGCTGTTAATGAAGGTCTGAAGTTTGTTTGAGATGCTCTTTATGACTCGCCAAGTCTCTCATCCATATAGTAGCACTGTCTTCACATTGGAGTTGAAACTCTGGATGTTATTTTGATGATGAGTGCTGTTGACCTCCACAGAGATTTGAGAGTGATGAAAGCTTGTCTCGCTTTTCCGAAAATCCTCGCTTTGATATCTTCATCAGTTCCACTGGCCTGTAGTTGAAACGATGCTTCCCAGGAAGGTAGGTAAAGGAAGTTGTTTTTTTCAGACTCCTCCAATTTATGCTGGCTGATTGTTGTCTGCTGTAGTTGCTGTTGGTGTTGGCCAAGAATCTTCATCACCTCTGTTTTCTGTATGTTCACTTGAAGTCCTATCTTTGATGCTTCTTCCATCGCTAACTTGTTGCTTTTCACTTGCATATCTTCCAGTTTGTGAGAAATCAGAAATATATATGACATCGGAGAAGTCCAGATCCTCCAAGTTTTTGTGTGAGTCCATTTTATGCCTGTTTCCTCATTGCCCGTTATCTGTCGCATTATCCAATCTACTGCAATCAGGAAGATCATTGGCGATAGTAGACAGCCTTGCCTCACTCCTGTCCTCACTTCGAAGGATTCCGTAATTTTCCCGTTGTGGATTACTTGGCATGCCCCATTGTCGTCAAATGTATTTTTACGTGAAATTCAAGTGTATGTAGCTTGCAATAATTCATAGACTTAAGAACACAATATTCAGAGAAGAGACTCTTTTCAACAAGGAATATGTTATCAAGCTTTACAATCGTATATATATATATAGTTTCTTAGTAAATTTATATCAGGGGAGGGAATTAGGTCAAATAGACGAATTATAGATAATAATAATCGTAGTAATGAGGGAAAGGTACGTGGAATAACTAAAAAAATAAATGAATGTTTATCCCTCTACGGCCAAGGAAGAAGTACGGATTGTACATACTTCTTTTGTACACAAAGGTCTGGCTTAAAGTCATGAATGGCCAAGGCCTCAGCTGTCTTTAGGAGTCTGTAACAAAGAAAACGTGGCCAGTTAGCATGGATTTGGTAGATGATCTTAAAATCATGTTCAGGGTTGTCAGAATGACAGGAGGCGATCAGGTGTTCCAGGATACAGCTTCGAACACACTTCCTTTATTCTTTGTATAACCATGCTGGCTTATGTTCTCGTATCCGTGAGGAAAGCTTCCTCTGACTACGGCCGAAGCATCTTGCTCCACATGGGCTCGTGAACTGATAGATGCACATGGAGGCGGTGAGATGGGGAAGCTCATCTTTTACAGAGATGGAGAACAACTTGCTGCTGGTGAACGTGATTTGTAATTTTGCTGCAAAGAACGTCTGACTGACTGATTTAGAGTGACGATTTTTGAGCATATCTGATGCTTGATCACCTTTGAATTTCAAGTTCATGAATAAGGTTTTCTTTGGAACTGAGTCGGTAACCAGTTAAGAATGCTTATCTTTCATGTTTCTGTCTTTAAATCGGTTAGGGTGTCCGTTTTCTGCGAGCGTGGCTTTTAAGACGTCAAGTTCTCAGTCAACGCAATCAGAACTACAAATATTTCTTATCCTAAAGTATGGTGAATGAATTAGGTTCCTTTTCCTGGAGATAAGCACCCAGCTATAAAAACTGGTCAGTTGTCCGTTTCATGTCCGTTTCCGGTGGATGGATCTTTTAAGAGATCCGTCATTGTGCTAATAAGGCACACACCGAGAAACGAAATACTTAGTTCAGATTCATTTTCTATGGTGAACTGTAAAGAAGGATTGCAGCTGATGAAAGCAGATAAGACATCATCAAGAATTACGTTGTTATCGCAGACTACCTATAAAATTAAGTTAGTTTCGTGATCGATATTTTTTCGATATCTCACCGGGGCATAAATTAGAAGCATAGTCAATTTGCTGTTTACACTTTTGCTACTTTTAATCATGAACAAGTCTCACCACGATTTAATGTACTAATGATCAAATTGCAACACTGCGGATCATTATTTAACATAGCTTGGGATGGCGGTCACCTCTTTATCTCACCTTCATCGACTGTTAAAAAGCCCTCGATAGCATAGTGTCGGTTGAGAGATGATCTGGAAACTACTTCGCTACTACCAAGTGGTGCCGCCGACAATTATACATCTCATTCAACAGTTGTACGACAATGCTGCATGCCAGGTAATCCATAACGTGAAACTCACGGAATCCTTCTAAGTGAAGACGGGATTAAGAAAAGCTGGCTGGCTGCCTACTATCTCCAATGATTTTCCTGATTCCGGTAGACTGGATAATGCGCCAGACGGCGGCGGGCAGCAAGGAAATGGGCATAAAATGGACTCACACAAAAAACTTGGAGGATCTAGACTTCGCCGATGATATATGTCTGATTTCCCACAAACTGGAAGATATGCAAGTTAAAAGCAACAAGTTGGTAGAAGAAGCATAAAAGGTAAGACCTTCTTCAAATAAACATAGAGAAGACCGAGGGGATGAAGATTCCTGGCCAGCACCAACAGCAACCACAGCGGCAGACAACAATCAGCCACCATAAACGGGAGATCTCCTTCACCTACCTACCCATCTGGGAAGCATCGTTTCAACTACAGGCCAGAGGAACTGACAAGGATATCAAAGCGAGGATCTTCGGAAAAGCAAGGTAAGCTTTCATCACTCTAATATCTGTGTGGAGGTCAACAACATTACCCAACATGAAAAATAAGATCCGGATTTTCAATTCCAATGTGAAGTCAGTGCTACTCACTATACGGATGAGAGACTTGGCGCGTCATGAAGAGCATTTAGAGCAAACTACGGACTTTCATCAACAGTTATCTTAGCTGAATGCTATTGAGATCAGATGGTCGACCATAAAAGATCAGCAATAGTGAGGGATTTTTGGCAATGAATGAACCAACCCAGCAGGAACCGACTGTGCGACAAATAAGCAGGGGGAATGGAGGTGAATTGGTCATACTCTGAGAAAACCATCAAATGACATCACTAGAAAGGCCATTGGGTAGAACCCGAACAGGAAGTGGCTAGTTGGTCATCAGTGCAAGGGTGATTTGGAGGAGATAATGTGAAAAGGAGATGAAAGTATGTGGGCAGACTTGTAGCCAGGTGAAAATGTTTGCAGAGAACTGAGCGCAATGGAGACGTGTGGCTGAAGTCCCATGTTCTTCTAGGAATTAAAGGAAACATTAATAACAAGATATTCATAGCAGTAATTGAAGACGTGAAATATACAAAGTTCCATGGTATTATACATACATATATGAAGAAACACTAAAAGTAAACTTTGAAAATTTCAATTACGCAACATAATGTGACCAACTATGTCTCATACAAAGTAACACAAAAAGATTATGATTGTTATCAGCTTACCTCAGCAATGATTCGATTTGTATCACCCATAAATAATAAATTTAATGCTTCATCTGTATTTGACGCTGAATGAATTGATAGATTCTTTAGGTGGACTGTTCCAGCTTCTGTATGTTCAAAAAGTGTTACACGTCTGTGAAAACAAAGGATAGTGAGTATGTGCCAAGAATAGAATGATTCATTTTCTTCCATGGGAAATATCCATCCCGATATGAATATAATAACAAAAGGTTCACCGAAAAGTTTATTTCCAGCGAATTCACTCACTTTACAGTACAGATGCATTTATATATAATTATTACATCAGGAAGACACTATTTAAGAATAGCTATCTACCATGCTTTATACATAAACGCGGAAAGTTGAAAATTAGCAAAGATTCACCTTTTTCTGTACCGAAGAAGATGTTATAGACGACCTTATGGCAGACATCCTAAAGAGAAGAATATCTAATACCCTGAAAAGAACATTTTCTGCTGCTACATTGCGATTAGTATTCTCAATCCGCCCATTGTTCGTCAACAACTCGAAAAGATAAACTATAGCCACTGATCACTTCTATGTATATCTACCAATTTACTTGCTCATGTGGAGTGAGCGAGATATACTGGTCATTTGATGAGCGTTTTATCCAAAAGAGTCAAAAAACATTATCCCATTTCGCTACGAAAAGGTAACAACGGATCGATAAGGAATGCTCTAATTGAACATATATTCAATACCAGTCACTCAATATGTAAGAAAATTCATTCAAAGTCAATTAAAAATTTAAAAGAAGCCTCCTGAAAACAGTAAGCTTTGATGATATTCAATGGCTGGAGGCAGTTGGCCACAGGAAGCCTTGGCACCCAGGTTTCTTGCCAGTTGGCACTCACCAGTCAGCAAGGCGTATTTGCAGTCACCTTGAAGGAACTCATGTCCCTTCTGAGACGCACAACACTAGTTACTAGTGTCCAATCAAGGTATCCAATACAGTCCTACAGGAGGTCAATCGCGAGCACGAATAGCTCAGTCGTGACGTCTCTGACTGCGACAATGGTTGACAACGTGGGTTCGAATCTAAGAAGGGACATAAGTTCCTTCAAGGTGACTATACATACGTCTTGCTGACTGGTAAGTGCCAAATAGCACGAAACCTAGGTCCAAGGCTTCTTGTGGTTAATTGCCTCCAACCATTCAATATCATCAAATCAATGTGCACCGTGATGGCGAGCTACCTAGAATGGTGGCCACATTGCAAGCCTGACTGATAAAATTCAGTCTGCACCAAAAAAGGGCTAGACGCATAACACTAGTTACTTATTACTAGTGTTCAATCAAACAATAAGCTTCCCTACACTTTGCTTTGCCAAGGCCTTAGCGATTTGAGTAGGAAACCCAGATTTATGTAAATAGATGAGACTTTACCCTTCTACCTTAGGTTTAATTCCAAGTCCTACTACTTTGTTAATAAAGCCTTTGTTTTACCTTTTTTGAACTTTTTGAATGTTTGTATGACATCTTAGTAACATCTTTTTCTTAGCCAACCCTTTATTTACTCTTTTTACCTATTGCGTAATTTATACTTTGGACACGTGTCCCCAGGCTCTTCCATAACCATCCTATTTTTCTGGGTTTCCTTCGAATTATGCAACCTTTGTCTATACCTACCAGTCAATAAGCTTTAGCTACAATTCGATTATTCACCACAAATTTTTGAAACATTTTGATGACGTAAAAAATAACCCTAGCTAATTGGTTGGAGAATTTCATCGTGAAATGACATCAGTTAGAGAACCGCATCAGCACGCACCCACCGACAGGGTTCGAACCAAGGACCTTCTGGTTACAAGGCTAGCGAGCTCTTAGACCATTCGTCAGCCACTGGGACCCAATCCAATGGCCATCCTATAAATTCTAACTTCTGCCAATTCATGACATAGAGAGACCACTTCTCAATTTCTTCTGCGATGAGTTACTGCCTCAACTTCAATCTGCTGGACCATACCGCTCATGGATTTCAACTAGAACCCTAGGTAACTAACTGCCTGATTAGGGCCAGTCGCCAGTGAGCATTAGATAAATTTTCAAGTATTGCTTTTTGTACAAATTTTATTTGATTGGTTGGAGGATTCCATCATGAGCTGATCATTCAGATACTAGAACCTGATCTACCTTTGAGTATTTCTTGCTTTTAGTGTGACTGACACCAGTCAATGTCATCTGTGGCAAGTATTTGTCCTCATAATCGACTTAGTGAACCCCAATAGTCACTGCAGGCGATTTCTTCTTGTGGCCAGTCACTAGTAAGCATCAGACCAATTTACTTATTTATTTAATGTTGACCTTTTCGGTGCTGTGAACTGACGTACCTGTAAGGCACAAAGTTCAGCACTGTTTTGATGCGACTACAATCTTCGCAATATATCATGAAATAAGAGAAATTGAAAATTATGGGATATTATGGTACCTTCGACCTTAATATTAATTCTTAATAAATGCCTACTCTTGTTATTTAAGTAGTCTACGTGTTAAATGTTAAGGCTTATTTAGTTTTAAGGCAAAATGCAAATTCCAAAGACATTTGTGCATGCAGAAAAAGTATACGGGGGACACTGCAAACCGATGTTAGGTGAAAAAAAAAATAAGTTCATGCTTATTAGTTTATTTCTACGTTATCATAAGGTACCGTACTCCAAGTAGGGAAAATCATTATGCACTCTGGTGAAAACTAGTATTCCTCAAGTTCGATAGACTTTTCAGTGTGAAATGTTGGCGGTCAGTCATTAGAAAACCTTAAGTAAACGTCTTATGAATATTCAAAATTATCAGTATGATTTACCTCTAAGCTTGACAAAAATATTGCTCTTAATACATTTAATGCTACTCCAGAGATATGGTGGAGATATGTGGATGACACACATAAACTCACTAGTGGAAGGATTTAAATTCACATTTGAATTGGTAAATGAACAAGGAGAATTAGCTGTGGTGTTAGATTGCAAAATCAAACGAACAGAAGAAGGTGAACTGCAGTCTAGCGTTTATGAAAAGCCAGCACATTCTGCTAATAGATATTCAGACTTTAGTTAATCTTATCCGTTATCTGTAAAGACAGGCTTAGTTAAATGCTTAACAGAGTGAGCAACAACCATACAAAGTAGTACAACAAAAGACCTAAATGATGATGTGTGCATCGGTGGCACAGTGGTTAGGACTCTCGCCGACCATGCACATGGTCCGGGGTTCGAGCCCACGCCGGCGCACACCTGATATCTATGGTTGGCCGGCAAAATCTGGGCTACCGATATCCATGCTGAAAATTCCATACATGTACCAAAAATACAGTCTGGAATCAAGCTGTAAATCAAAACTAAAACTAAAACTAAATGAAACAGATGGAAGAAACGTTGGTATCAAATAACTATCCTATAAAATTTATTGGGATGATCAGAATAGATCAAAAGTGAAATAAAAATAATTGTAAAACTAGTAATCATAACATAAATAAGAGCAAATATAAGACATTTACAGTTTTACCATATAAGCAGGGGGCATCTGAGACCCTACGTGAGATTCTTAATAAAGCAGGAATTAGATTGGCATTTTAGACTAGAAATTCACTCAGGGACAAGCTGTGTAGGTTAAAAGACCCAGGTCCAATTAGACGTCACGTGTGTGGATGGATGTCCCACCAACGACAATGGTTGGGGTCGCGCTAAATCACGCATTGGTGGAAGTTAGAATTCACGAGCCATTGAATCGGGTCCCAGTGGCTGAATGGTATACGAGCTTGCCTTGTAACCGGAAGGTCCCGGGTTCGAATCCCAGTGGGTGCGTACTGCCGATGATTCCCAAACTAGGATGAAACAGCAGCTGTCCAGTACTTTCAGTAGTTAGATTGTCGGAAAATAAGAACTTAACTAAGGTGAGAATGGTTGACCCCACCCGCGAAGATAAGTAATTTAGAAAAAAGCTCAGCAATCGTGCTCTATGCATTAACACACAACCATACAGTAGAGCGGGAGAGGGCTAAAATTCTAAGAAGAAATATAGGTAGATGGAGAGAGAGAGAGTGATTGATTACTGAATCTTGGTTCATTGAGTCTACACCCAACACAACACATGCCATAGAAATGAATCAATGCAAATACCAGAGATATGTATGGAGGGTATTATTACCACCACTCAGTCAAGTCAGAGAAGGATAATGAGTAATCTGAAAGTCCTATTTCAATTCAAACACATCACAACATTCTAACAAGTTACATATTTTGACTATAAAAGCACTCGTCTTATTTCCCCTCTGGTTGTATTTGATTGATAACACTCGTATTATTATTTCTGAATGTAAATTATCTTATATTGATTCTATTCAACTGTCTAATCAATTTTACTCATTTATATCAACGAGAAAAAAAAACGCTGTGTGAGTAGTGACCTGATATGATTATGAGCGACAATAATTTGTGCTCGAAACGTCATCAGGTAATATTACTCTGTAATAACACCGTGTAACTTGTCAAAATACGATCTTATCCATTAAGGGGTTATACTCCTACTGATAACTTATCCTTATCAGGGGGTGAAGTATTCATCTCTCCCTGTTCAGTTTTCAATAGTTCTCTCTCTGACATTGGTTCATGATCGATTCCAGATCCCCATAGCCTTCCTGAAGTCATTCAAAGAGCCTACTAGTTTCCCAAATACATGTCTACCAAAAATTAAATCTAAAGTTTTGTAAAACATTGTACTTACGGTAAATCTTCCAATTTCGAGGCAATATGATGTCGTGCATCCAATAAATCATAACCAATTTCATTGTATATCTCCATATAGGAAATTTTCAAAGTGAATTCACTGCTAGTATCCTTATGATGAGAAGTGTTCAGGGAAAATTAAGAAAGATTAAATCATTTAGATTTAACTTTGATTATGGCAAGAAATTTACAAACACAAGTATACAGAAAAATCAAAAATACGCACACACACACACCAAATACTCAACTATCATAGTAGTCGTGAAATGGCAGAAGTTAGAATTCAAGGACCATTGGATCGGGTCCCAGTGTCTTAATGGTCTATGAGCTCACTAGGCTTTTAACCAGAAGGTCCTGTGTTTGAACCCTGATGGTGGTGCGTACTAATGAAGAGCCCCAAAGCATGACGAAACAGCTGTCCAGTACTCCCAGGTTTTCCAGTGGTTCTCTAACTGATGTCAGCTCATGATTAAATCCTCCATGCTATCATAGTAATAACTAAGTTACTCACAAAAGAATCGGTGTACATGCATTGTTTAAGAGTTCAGATGCACACTGTAGAGCACTCCAGTACTGAAGAGAATGAAGGAAAAATAGCTGTTAGCTGTCCTGAAAAGCAAAAGGAATACTCACACAATTTCAGCAAACAGTGTTTATACTTGAGTCATAACACCAATAAGGAACCATCATTAAAGACAAGAAGAAAATTCATCCTACCCTATATCTGAAACCACAGCTAGAATATTAAGACCGTTTAAAATTGATATAGCACACAAGCCAGACAGCCATCAAAACACAATCACACTTCATTTAGTATTGTGCAAACCAAAAGATCCGGTACGAAAAGTAGATAAAATTAATATCATTTACAAAATAAATCCCATGTGTGAACTGTATGAATAATTGAATTGAATTTTTGATTTTCCCGTCGATTGATTGGACCGAAGTGCTCGGTCTCAGGTTGACATGTCGGCTTCTTGTGCAGATGCTTCGACGATGTCTGGGTATTTAATTAGTATACAATTGTATACTAATTAAATCAAAAAATTCAATTCAGTAATTAATATGACCCGTTGGACAAGAGGTGGCCAACTGTCGTGGCCCAAGTGGTCTAGTGGATAACGCCTTGGCGTTTGAAACTATGGGTACTGGGTTCGAGCCTCGGTGGGAACATCATCACTCACTGAGAAATGCAGGTACATCCAGCTGACGAGTCCCAAATAGGACGAAATGCGCATCCTGGATACCACTGCTAGCCACCATCCACCAATTGTATGAATAATTGTTTATTTAAGTGATATAATTGAACTATATAATGCATTTTATTTTTATTTTAACCTCTTATACTCCCTTCCCGTTATCTATTCGAACATGGCCTGAAAAACATTCACATGTGTCGTTTTGCACGACTAATTCAATGTAGTTTATTTGCTTATTAGTCTTATGTCTCCCAATGTATTTCCAATAGTATAATATATATATCCTTGTATGTAGAGTATTCACCAACTGAAGAGTTCGATAGAAATTTGCCTTATTAACAACGTTTATTGCTTGCTATAAATTGGTATCGGGAAATGAATGTCTCCAATAATTGTAAACAATGAAATAGGTTTTATTTATTTATTTATTTATTTATTATTACAGCTTTGTCTCCTTTGTCTCACACCTCTGCTCACTGTTTCTATTATGCTTTTCTTGTACTTTCTTCTCTTGCTTGCTTCGCGTGCTACACGGAGTGTGGCGACTTGAACTGCCGCACATTTGTGCAAAGTTCTATGTCGAAAACAGACAGACAGACAGATTATTACAGCTTGATTCCACACTGTATTTTTGGTACAAGTATGGAATTTTCAGCATGAATATCGGTAGCCCAAATTCTGGAGGACGACCATAGATATCAAGTATGCGTCGACAAGGGATCGAACCTCGGACCATGTGCATGGTCGGCAAAAGTCCTAACCACTGTGCCACCGATGCATACACTTCAATTCCTTTAAGCTCCAATCAATAAAAAAGCTATGGATTTCATTATGAGCTGACATCAGTTAGAGAACCATTGGAAAATCTGGGAGTACTGGACAGCTGTTTCATCGTAGTTTGCCCTATTCAGCTAGGTAGTTACCTGGGGTTCTAGTGAGAAGTCGTGACCAGTAGGGTGCAACAGGTCGGGTGTGAGGACAAATACTCGCCCCCGAAGACATTGGCTAGGAGTCGTGCTATGTCATGAATTGGGAGAAGTTAGAATTCATGAACTGGCCATTGGATCGGGTCCCAGTGTCTTAATGGTCTATGAGCTCACTAGGCTTTTAACCAGAAGGTCCTGTGTTTGAACCCTGATGGTGGGTGCGTACTAATGAAGAGCCCCAAAGCATGACGAAACAGCTGTCCAGTACTCCCAGGTTTTCCAGTGGTTCTCTAACTGATGTCAGCTCATGATTAAATCCTCCATGCTATCATAGTAATAACTAAGTTACTCACAAAAGAATCGGTGTACATGCATTGTTTAAGAGTTCAGATGCACACTGTAGAGCACTCCAGTACTGAAGAGAATGAAGGAAAAATAGCTGTTAGCTGTCCTGAAAAGCAAAAGGAATACTCACACAATTTCAGCAAACAGTGTTTATACTTGAGTCATAACACCAATAAGGAACCATCATTAAAGACAAGAAGAAAATTCATCCTACCCTATATCTGAAACCACAGCTAGAATATTAAGACCGTTTAAAATTGATATAGCACACAAGCCAGACAGCCATCAAAACACAATCACACTTCATTTAGTATTGTGCAAACCAAAAGATCCGGTACGAAAAGTAGATAAAATTAATATCATTTACAAAATAAATCCCATGTGTGAACTGTATGAATAATTGAATTGAATTTTTGATTTTCCCGTCGATTGATTGGACCGAAGTGCTCGGTCTCAGGTTGACATGTCGGCTTCTTGTGCAGATGCTTCGACGATGTCTGGGTATTTAATTAGTATACAATTGTATACTAATTAAATCAAAAAATTCAATTCAGTAATTAATATGACCCGTTGGACAAGAGGTGGCCAACTGTCGTGGCCCAAGTGGTCTAGTGGATAACGCCTTGGCGTTTGAAACTATGGGTACTGGGTTCGAGCCTCGGTGGGAACATCATCACTCACTGAGAAATGCAGGTACATCCAGCTGACGAGTCCCAAATAGGACGAAATGCGCATCCTGGATACCACTGCTAGCCACCATCCACCAATTGTATGAATAATTGTTTATTTAAGTGATATAATTGAACTATATAATGCATTTTATTTTTATTTTAACCTCTTATACTCCCTTCCCGTTATCTATTCGAACATGGCCTGAAAAACATTCACATGTGTCGTTTTGCACGACTAATTCAATGTAGTTTATTTGCTTATTAGTCTTATGTCTCCCAATGTATTTCCAATAGTATAATATATATATCCTTGTATGTAGAGTATTCACCAACTGAAGAGTTCGATAGAAATTTGCCTTATTAACAACGTTTATTGCTTGCTATAAATTGGTATCGGAAATGAATGTCTCCAATAATTGTAAACAATGAAATAGGTTTTATTTATTTATTTATTTATTTATTATTACAGCTTTGTCTCCTTTGTCTCACACCTCTGCTCACTGTTTCTATTATGCTTTTCTTGTACTTTCTTCTCTTGCTTGCTTCGCGTGCTACACGGAGTGTGGCGACTTGAACTGCCGCACATTTGTGCAAAGTTCTATGTCGAAAACAGACAGACAGACAGATTATTACAGCTTGATTCCACACTGTATTTTTGGTACAAGTATGGAATTTTCAGCATGAATATCGGTAGCCCAAATTCTGGAGGACGACCATAGATATCAAGTATGCGTCGACAAGGGATCGAACCTCGGACCATGTGCATGGTCGGCAAAAGTCCTAACCACTGTGCCACCGATGCATACACTTCAATTCCTTTAAGCTCCAATCAATAAAAAAGCTATGGATTTCATTATGAGCTGACATCAGTTAGAGAACCATTGGAAAATCTGGGAGTACTGGACAGCTGTTTCATCGTAGTTTGCCCTATTCAGCTAGGTAGTTACCTGGGGTTCTAGTGAGAAGTCGTGACCAGTAGGGTGCAACAGGTCGGGTGTGAGGACAAATACTCGCCCCCGAAGACATTGGCTAGGAGTCGTGCTATGTCATGAATTGGGAGAAGTTAGAATTCATGAACTGGCCATTGGATCGGGTCCCAGTGTCTTAATGGTCTATGAGCTCACTAGGCTTTTAACCAGAAGGTCCTGTGTTTGAACCCTGATGGTGGGTGCGTACTAATGAAGAGCCCCAAAGCATGACGAAACAGCTGTCCAGTACTCCCAGGTTTTCCAGTGGTTCTCTAACTGATGTCAGCTCATGATTAAATCCTCCATGCTATCATAGTAATAACTAAGTTACTCACAAAAGAATCGGTGTACATGCATTGTTTAAGAGTTCAGATGCACACTGTAGAGCACTCCAGTACTGAAGAGAATGAAGGAAAAATAGCTGTTAGCTGTCCTGAAAAGCAAAAGGAATACTCACACAATTTCAGCAAACAGTGTTTATACTTGAGTCATAACACCAATAAGGAACCATCATTAAAGACAAGAAGAAAATTCATCCTACCCTATATCTGAAACCACAGCTAGAATATTAAGACCGTTTAAAATTGATATAGCACACAAGCCAGACAGCCATCAAAACACAATCACACTTCATTTAGTATTGTGCAAACCAAAAGATCCGGTACGAAAAGTAGATAAAATTAATATCATTTACAAAATAAATCCCATGTGTGAACTGTATGAATAATTGAATTGAATTTTTGATTTTCCCGTCGATTGATTGGACCGAAGTGCTCGGTCTCAGGTTGACATGTCGGCTTCTTGTGCAGATGCTTCGACGATGTCTGGGTATTTAATTAGTATACAATTGTATACTAATTAAATCAAAAAATTCAATTCAGTAATTAATATGACCCGTTGGACAAGAGGTGGCCAACTGTCGTGGCCCAAGTGGTCTAGTGGATAACGCCTTGGCGTTTGAAACTATGGGTACTGGGTTCGAGCCTCGGTGGGAACATCATC